GGATTGGAAAATTCTACAGGAAATATCAGCTGAAAATCAATACGAGACAATTTATATTCTCGTTTAGTGACATTTTCAAAGAAATTTCGTCTGATCATTATTTTGAAATCACTTTCCAAAGATTATTTTCATTGCATTTGGCATTTGGAATAAAAATAATAATTTAGGAAATTCTGGCTTTTCCCTTCCAAAGAAGAGTAATTTTTCTATCAGTGCACATTTTCCATATTCTGTACATGCATTTTCATGCCTCTTCACCTCAATATCATACGTTTTGGCATGTTAATCAGAAGTCGCAGCTGTTGTGTTTATGAATTGCTTAAGTACAACGTGTGCAACATGTTGGCAATTTGCATTCATAAGAATTTCCATTTCAACCAGTTTCACTCGACTAATGCAACATCTGGTTCAATTTTGGGGGATTTTCATAAGATTTTTTTTTCGGTTGGATTTTGGTTTAGATGTCGGTCATGTCAAAGCACATGATTATGTGGAGTGTGTCAAATGCAATTCCACATGAGATCTAACGAACCACCAACAGTTCCATTGGCCGCAAACATTTTCCATTGGTTCTGTGCAATTACAACATGCTTCGCCTCTTGTTTCCACCCAGATTAATCAAATTAGATAATGATTTATGTGGAGAGGTGTCAAAGGGTTTTCTTACACACACGCGCAATTCAGGGCGGGTCTTTGTGGGATTCGATTGACTCTCTCGCTCTCGCTCTCTGTGGGCCACTTTGAGAAAGTCCGTGGAGTGGAAGGCAATTCCTGTGATGCAATGAATTATTCCAATTAAATTCACTATGGGTTTTGCATTCCCTTCCGCATCTTCGTCAAAGGAAATGCCTCATACGCCTCAAAGACATGCGCATGACCTTAAATTACACTTTTATCACCTCTTCCTTCCGCACAGTGACTTGATGTGGAGATGGTTGGATCAAATTCTGCACTTTGCACAGATGGAGAGAGAGAGAATCCAGTGGATGTGGAAAAAAAGTAAATCGGAAGTTTGAGAATACAAATGAAAAGCTTAGAGTGGCTGCTTTTCACTCCAATCGACCCCAATGATATCTGCACCGCGCTTGAGACAATTGAAACGCCACAGTGAAGAATGAGATTCTCGTTTTCGGGCAGGAATGGTGAGACGGGATTGGAGTTCACAGAGGATGTGAGGGGGTGTGCAAACAAAGTTTTCCATTGCTTTATTACTCACGGCTCAATACACAGTGAGGAAATTAAAATCGATTCTTCTCACTCAGGAAATTCTGATGAATGAGAAGAGGCGAGCGTGGGAGCAATTTTAGGTTATATGGCTTCAAGATAAACAATCTCATTTCAGTGGGAGATTTTTCTCCCTTTTCGTTTCTTTTTTTTTGTCTCGACTCGAGAGAAGACTCTGTCGTTCTCACGAGAGAACTTTTCTCTATATTCTGGCTGAAATTGCTTAGAAGAACAAATTGCAAATGCAACTTTATGAAGCCTGAAAGGCAATCAAGGTACAAAAAATATCTTGGAAATTTTGTTTTTATTATTTACATATACTAGTAAAATACCATTTATTTGAAATTTTATTATCCAAATAGATTTGTTGAAAAGCACAGGAAGATGCTATTTTTTCCAAATTATTCTTGACATATAAACAAGTCAGGAAGTAAATAATACATTCAATTTTATGATGGAGAACTTAAAGATTCCTTTTCTGATAGGGTTGCAAAGTTATTCTTATGTTTGTTCAAATTATTGAAGGGATGAATCCTTGTGTTGTGTTATTTGCAATGACAAACCCTTTGTGGATAATTACAGTGTTTCCTAGGACAATTGAGCGTATTTTGTTGGGGATTTGCTCGACTAAGGAAAGGTCCTCAAGTGAGAGTGGGTTTTGGTGAGGGGTGGCAAAAGAGGCTGGAATGTTAATTTTCCTTAAGTACGCACCGCACATTTCCAGAGGCCTCGGAAGGGACGAATGCGCGACTATCAAACTGTAAAATATTTATGAGTTTGCCAAAATAATGGCGAAAGGAAGTGTTGAATGCGGTCTCGTGTTGGCATGGTGTGAATAAATAAAATACCCAATAGTATTTGTGCGACATTGCAATTTAACACGTCTCCCAGATGAATTCCACCAATTTCACTGTTTATTTAATGTCTCAAGATGCTGCCTTGCTCGATACAATCATTTTGATATCGGAAATTCGAATCAAAACTTATGGAAGTTGCGAATGTTCGTCTATTTTGAGCTTCGGAGCCTTCATGGAAGGGACTTCGCGTATGGGAAAGAGATTGTATGCCTCAGGACGCATGAGTGGTTCATTTATCATTCTCTCCGTACTGTTCATGTGCACGGCTTGTTCTCCGGGAGAGAAAGAACGGATGGATTTCTGGACTCTGCATGTAATGTAGATGGAATTGCTCAATCAGTATTTGCTCGGTCTGCACTCAATGCTGATCTCCTTTTTGCAACTTTTCACTCGCGTCAATCGCGCTGCAACAGTCACTCAAGTAATAGGTTTCCATTCCGAGTGTATAAAGCGATTAAGTGAAGACATAGAAATGACAAGACTCCTTTCTGTGGATTGAGATTAAGACGGTGTGCAGAAGGTTTGTCAACTCTTGTGAAAGTGCGGAGCTTCACGTGGAATTCTTAACACATTCTCTGGCTCTCAATTGAACAATGTTCTGCCTCAGAATTAAGGGTGAGGAAAAGGGCGTCAAACAAGTGCTCAAAGTTCAACTTTCCACCCATGCCAACATTCCTTGGAATGCAATTAATAATCTACTTGAGTTGTCTGAATTTTTCACTCCCTCTTCATTCATCCACTCGATTTCAGTGCACAGCGAATGGGTGGCAATTCGCTGAGAAGTTGTCGTTTGTGGAATAATGGGGTCTTAATGGGATTTCTGATTTTGCCATTCTGAAACAATCGGAATCCGCTGCCTGCTGCATGAAGTTCCCGAGAGGCGCGGATTAAAATTGCAGCACGTCGGGTTGAAAGTGGGCGGAAGAAAGTGTAGAATTTTTAGACGTCGCGCCAAGCAATCCAATCTAAATCTCATTATCTGATAAAATGAAGAGAGCGATTTTGAATTTCCACCCTTAAGCTTGCCACTCAAATATGCATTCCTTTTTCCATCAGCATCGAAAATGTGTGTTCTCATGCGGTTTTTCCTGCAAAATAAGCGCCTTTTTTCCTGAGCGAAGCGACTGATATTTTTAGAAATCATCTCATGTTTCATAAAATATTCAATTTTAATCGACAATTAATTTTTCCACTCAGGAAAAATTCTGGGCTTGAAATACTCGGCAGTTTCCTCATCAAAATTTAACCAGGGACTTTTTATCAATTATGTGTCTGTTGAATTTGCATTTACACACCTCAGTTTATATGTACTTTTACCAACACATGTGTCACTGGGAAAATGCAATTTATTTGCTGTTTTCTCTCTTCGCAGCCAACAAAATGCAGAGAGAAAAATCAATCTTTCTCAAACTCTGTTTCTCTGCTCTTCCACACCATTTCATTTGTCAAGCAAATAAATGGCACTTTGTCGAAGGTTTAATTGTAATGTAAACTCAAGTTGTAACATTCATTGTAAATATTTCGGTGAGTTGCTTTTGTTTGGCTAAGTTGGGGTTAAACGAGGTTCAACATTAATTAAATGTTTCTATTTAATTCTGGCAATTAGATTGTTTTATTCTACTCTTGATTTTATTGAAACTTTCACAGAAATATTTACGTGAAAAATTCTTTTAGCATCAGTGAAATTTCCTAACACAAAATATTATATTGAGCTATAATATTTCTACAAATTTATTTACAAAATTGACATATTCAATCGTCAAATCAATTTCAACTGCAATTGCTGTGCTTTCAAGAATACTTTGTAGCTATTTGTATCTGAAATTGAAATTTTTCCAGTTGAAAATCGAATTCATCACACCTGGAAGCAAGACTGTCAGTCTGTTTCAGATGCTTCAGAAGGGAAAAGTTCCGTGTGTTCGAGGTGAATTTATCATTCGAATGACTTGGGGTGTGTTGAGGATGCCAAAGCGGCGCAGCTTTGGCTGAAGCCGGCAAATGGGGAGACGATAACAGAGGGAAAAGTTGCTCATTTTTCCCCCCATTTTCCAACCCCTTTTTTTGTGCTTTTGCATCGCTTTTTCTCCCACAAGCATAAGTCGATAGTTTTTTTTCTTGCCACTCGCTTCTCACCATGTGTGATGTTTATTTGTTGGCAGTGCGGAAGGAGAAAATACATTTGATTGCAGGAGGAAGGAAGAGGGTGAATTAGGGGGTGTATTTCAGTGTTTACTTAGTGTAGAACATATTACAGTCAAGATAGAGTTGAGAAAAGTGTAAGAAAAGTTGCGAAGGCGGTGTAAAAAACGATGCTTATTTGCTCAACTGAATGGACTGAGTGACAAATGGATAAAGTTTGAACTGCACTTTTCACGTTTTGAAATCAAAGCTCGCGCTTGTGAGGAAATTGATTCAGTTACAAATATATAGTGTTTGTAATTTCATCACACGTCAAAGACTCTTCATTAGAGAGTTAGATTGAATTTTGTGACTATTCGTGTAGTTTAAATGCAAAATGGACTAACGAGGAAATTTGCACGACAAACAACAGATTGAAATGTTCGTTATCAGAAGTTGTGTCACTCTTTCCTCAGGTACTTTATCTCCCCTTTGTCCTTCCACATGGAGTGTTTAATTTTGTGATATCGTGAATTGAGTTATTAAACTTGGAAATTAATTAAATATCATTCTGAGTGATTTCACTTTAATTTGTGATATAAGAATGATTGATAAGAATTACCTTTTAACGCCTCTTTTTCAGACTTGTATATATATCTTTATTATTCCCATAGCCAAAATTTCTCTATCAATCAAATCACATGTGAAATCAATCAATAGAGAATATATGATTGCGTTGTGAGCTTCCTTTCATGTGGCATGAAATAAACATTACCCATAATGTCTGGCTTTCTTTTGCAGAAGAAGACTGGCAGAATGAGAAGGGCGGAAGCTCGAGCGGCAGAGCTCAGCAGCCAGAGCAGGGTGAGTCCTTATTGAATGTTATTGTAAAGAAAACTCGAATCCAATTAATTGCATGATTATTTTCCTTGTGATCTCATTGCAATTTCCTCCTGAAACGTGCAATAAATTACTCATCTGCATAGCACATAATACCTTCTCTGGGCTGGGATGATTGAATTTTCCCATGGATATTTCAATTTAGCTCATCCATGCGAGAGAGAGTGGTGCAATGGAGGCAAAAAAGGATGCTATAATGGCACAAATCCTCTTCTTCCGCACAATAAAAGACGGAAATATATAAAAGAGGGATTTCAGGGAGCTGAGAAAGAGGTGGTGAATTACTTATGGCGAACAGACTCTGGGCTAGAAGCTTCTGACTGGAGTTAATTAAGTGTCATAAACTTTTCCTGAGATTTACATATTTTCTGTTTTGCAGAATTCTCCTGCAAATTAAGCCATTTGACATATATTTTCTTGAGCAAATGCACACAATTTCAAAAAGACGAAAAAAGAAAGAAGGTTTTTAGTTGAGACAGGAGAAAAACTTTCAGTACAGATTTGTGATGAGGAAAGCTTTTGGGGTAAAAAACAAAGGATTATTCACTACTTTTATGAGAATATTTGTACGGTTTGAAGGATAATTGCCCAGTAAAATTCTCAATCAATTAAAATGAATCGACGGATTTATGTCTCGTGTTGAGTATTTTGCAAAACTGCTTTCGTTATTTCACTCTAAATATGTGGTTGGCGTGCAAATTGCAGGATTAATGCTGGAAAAATCCCTGGATATTAGAATTGTACGATTGATAGGCAATTTGCATGACTGACAACTGATACAGTCACATTCGTTTCGTCATGCGAAATTTCAAATGGTATGCATAAAAAGCATAATTCTGTGAATTTCACTAAAAAATTGAGTATTATAGTGAAACAGAAATATGCAAAATCACGTTCAGAGAGTGGCGTTGGGGAAAAAAGTGTAATTCACTTACACATCCATTGCGGCGGTGTTTGGGACAGACATGGAGGGAATAGCGCGCGTTGGTCAGATTCATGTGAATGTTTTAATCCTTTGCTTTGGGAACAGACACGCATTGCGGGAGAGAGAAGAGTTTCCCGAATGCTGTGTGCGAAAAGCGTCAGAAATATCGTATCGGTCATGACATCAGCAGACGACCACATGGTGGAAAATAGCGAGTGTGTGGGTGGGAAAATTGGGAGGGAGTTGAATTGATTCCCACAGGCTTTTAGTTTAATGTAGTCTCTTCACTTGTGCAGATAAGTTTTGTTCTATTGCATGTATTTCTTTCCAATTGTGAAGTCAGTCAAAGTGTAGAACAGCAAAGTGCTGTGCTTACAAAAGACAGTCTGCAGTGGTTCTGTTGTACAGGTGAAATATATTCGGCTGGTTTGATGCCAGAAACATGCATCAATTTATGCTGTGCTTTGTGAATTCTGGGCGATGACTCAAATCGAAACTCTTTCCCAAATCCAGCAAGTTTGATTTCCGATTTCCTCTCTCTCACTTGGGAATACATTGAGAGCATATTGTTTGTTGTTGTTTCTATTTTTGCATCTCGTGTGGTTTATTTGATGTGCTGCTGCTCTTCCTTCTCTCCCTCTTGCTGTGTATGATTTTCCAATCAAAATTCTCAAAGGAGCACGAGAGCTGGGCCATTTTCAATTATGGCTGCGTGATGAACACGGGACGTGATCGAAAAAATAAATGTTCACATCGCGCTATCAGTTTGACATGTAGCAAAAGGTCGCTTGCGGTACGATTGGAATGGAATGAGAGACTCAGAATTGGCAAGAAGTTCAGTTGACAAACCGCAAAAGAGGTAGTAAATTTATTCAGATACTGAGTTAAGGTTTTGCGCTTTTTCCGCTGTTCAAAATGAATACAGATTTTTTGGTTACACGGAAGATTTTTTGTATATTCGCAACATTTTGCAGAAGGAAATGTGAAGATTTCTCGCTTTGTGATACATTAAAAGAGCATTTTTGTGGTCATTGAAACTTCACATTACAAAAGAGCGAATCAGTTGATACTATTTTTCCCTTTGTTACATATTTATCCCTTTTACAACACCTCAAATTACAATGAGGAACATGAAGAACACATCGCGGCTGAGGAAAACATTCTGTGTGGATATACGAAAATGTGTGTTGATTTACACAAAATACTGCGCAATGAGGCTCAAGAGTGTGTGTTCTAAAGGCAAAAAAAAAAATTATAAATAACCTCATTTAGATTGTAAATTCACGCGAAAGCCTTCGTGGCCCTCGGAATTACAGCTCCACCATAATTATGATATACATAGGCCATTTACACTCCCATTGGAATTCACATTGTGAAATACTGACCCAATAATATTTACGATTTGGGTTATAGTTTCCTTATTAATGCGCAAAAAGAGCGCCTCCTTTTGCTCTCGCCTAATTGAACTTCACTGCCACAAAAAAGGAGAAACCTTTTCGGAAATTGTCCAGGAAAATTATCCGGTCGACGGGTTCACATTGAGACAGAATCACGTGCTTTCGACGAAATATTCTTTGCACTTTCAGCAATTTCGGGTCGTGGTGTGAAGGGGGAAGAACTATTTTTATAAATTTCTCCTTCTCAATGGCTTTCACACCCAATCTCTTCCTCACCCAAATTAACTCTGCCATGTCCGCATTTTTTCTCGCTTTGCGAATTTTCTGTGATCAAGCAGATGTTTAATACAACGTCAAGCGAAGCAGTTTTTGATACATTTTTGAAGACGGAAGTCTTTTTTTGTGTATTTGTGGAAATTTGCGTGAGAAATTAGTCAATTCTCAGCACTTTTTTTGCACTTGATTGGATGGTTTTTTTTTCTTTTGGTTAGGAGAAAAGTATCGCATATCATTTGTCACAATTGCGAGATGAATTTTTTCTTTATTTACCGTGCAAAAATAACTTCAGTGCGTGTGAAAGCATGAAGCAATAGACGATTTTTCCTCAAGAATGAGAAATCTTCCATGGGATTTACTCTTCCGCGGCGCCAAACACATTTTTCTCCTCATTTTCACTCTTTCGACGCCAAGAGAGAAGCTCAGGGTGAACTTAATGCTTTGTGCCACATTTGAAATCACAAGCAATGCAAAGTTACATATTTACCGTGCACTTGCCGATGGTGAAAATGTTGAGGAAGAAATTGAGGCATCTTCTTTCTTAATTGAATTCCTTATGTTACTTCGCATTGAAATCAATTCTATTTTTAGAAGCACTTGAGCACTTGTGAGTCTCTTCCTGAAAATTGATAAACACCCTAGAAATTCGAGTCACGCGTCGCTACCGGGAAACACACATATTAGTTTAAGTACAGTGTTTTTGCCTCTCCTTCGCCATTGAGGTTTTCCTTTGGCAAACGTCCTGAGGGCAGAACCTTCGCCATTCTACGCACACACCGGAAGATGTGGGGCGCAAAACCATTCCAGATTGCTAGTCATATTTCATAATGTGTCCTGAGAAATGACTATTTCTGGTGCCCGAACTTTCCAATATAACGCGTGTGGCATCGCATGAACCTTTGTAGGAAGTTGTGTCGTGGCAAAGTTCAACAATCTGAGAAACTTGCGCAAGGAGAAGGAAAATTCAAATTCAGCTTAGGAGGGAATTGTGGACTTAGAAGCTGAGCAAAATATTATTAAACGCCATTTGGGATTCTTTGACTGCTTTGAAGTTAGATTTAGCAGAATATTCTTAGATAAATGGCTGTATTTGTTGATAAAAGAATAATTACATATATATTTTGTATCCAAAAATCAATAGTTTTACATCATTTGCACTCAATTGCACCCAAAAAAAATCTACTCTGTTCATCAATTCTGTGGTTGATTGACGGAATTATTGATAAATTAGCCCCAATTCAGTGTTTGTTTGCACTTTTTAAAGGGGCTTTTAATAATTCTGTTCACACAAATATGTACAATTTGATGATGAATTGTGAATGTGAATGACTTTTGAAGAGCGCGAGCTGGAAAAAGTCCGAACACAAGTTGTTTTTTTCATCAATGTGCTCTTCATTCGGCACATTTCCGATTGGCGCTTTGTTTTATTAATGGCGTGAAATATTTCACGGCAGTCGGCGGGCGGCGGAGAGCGCGCAGATGGGGGGGGGGAGGAGGGGGAATTGCTGCTGGGATCCACAATATATGTAATATTTTATTTGTATTGTCAACATTGTGTGTGCACGAAATTGAAAATCGATTTTTCCTCTTTTCCGGGCATCTCCGGCGGTAGCTGCTGACGACCGGCGGCGAGGCGGGCGTCGCGAGGATCCGCGAAGACACACGCTGGGCGGCGGCGACATGATGCACTACGGCCCCGGCCAGGCGCCGCCGCAGAGGACGATGGATCTGGAGGTAACGCACTCTTACACGCGAGCTTACCACTGACAATCTCCTCCCTTCTGGTTGATGGGCACCCCTTTCCACCCTTCTCCATCCGTCACACACTCTAGTTTTTGTCGTTATGTGACACGGAGTCAGTTTAATTTTCATTCCCACGTACTTTTCTATCTCTCTATACATTTGTACATCGTGCTGTATAGATAGAACATCACCTTTTTTCGCTGTGCAATCTCTAAATGTGAATATAAGAGAGAGAGAGGGAGAGAGATGGTCGACGGGGAAAAAGGGAATTAATGAATGAGAATTATGAGCAGTGAAAAAAAGTATGATAAACACGAAGGAGCATAGAATAAGAGTGACAAGCGGAGGTGAAATAGACGCTCTTCCCATTTTTGGCGTCTTATGTAAAATATAATGAAGTCACGTCACCAATTAAAATGTGCTAATTTCCGTAAAATGTCTACATTATATCTATGTTTTAGGTGTATTATTGTAATTATCATACATTTTATGCACAAGAAATCTTTCACAGACTTGCAAATTTATCAATTAACTGTGTTTTCTCGTAATCTGTGTGATCACTTTAACTTTTATGTCTATCAATTCACGTATTTGACTTTGAGCTTTATCACAAAAACGCCAGTCATCCACTGTGAGGCGGAGTTTTTGAGTTTTGGTGTGGAAAATTGGACGATTTTGCACTTTGATTCTCAAATTCATATCACCAAATTTTTATTCTCACTATTCGGTGGCCTTTAAAGTTTTGACAGAGGGACAAAAAGAGCCATTTGGAAAGATACTTTCTCATAATTCAAACATTCTTCCTCTAAATTTCATATAATCTCGAGAATTTATGTTCTGTGGTGGTCAAGAAATATTTGCAGCCAAAAATACATTGAGAATATTTGTGGAGAATAAATCTTCACCAGAGGATTGTTTGTTTTCCTTATTTTTATGCATTTTTTTTGGCAAGCGGAATTTTGAAAAAAAAATTTTAGTCAATACATTAGAAGCAACATTTCAAAATTTCACGCTTTTTCACAGAAAAAACTCAATTGTGAGAACTCACAAGGAATGCTTTTGAAATTTTATATTTCTTCTGTATGAATTAGGAAATGAGAGTATAAATATTCGATTTACACAAAGAAAAATTGGTGAAAAACAGCCGAAAATGAAATTCAATATGACATTTATTCTAACTTATGCAGATGGGGACACGTTCGCAAAAAGTGAAAAAGGTAATTCTATTTGGCATAACATTCATGCAATAGTATTTTATAAGTAATATTATCAAAGGAATATTATAGCTTTTGTATCGATAAATATTCTAGAGAGCATTTTATTGAATTCTAATTTTTTCCAATTTGCGCAGAAAGTGCAAAATAATGTAATATTTAAGTGCTAGAGAGCAAATATCATAGCAATTTAATGTTTTTTTTTTCTTTAATTATTTAGCCATTACATTTTTTTTCTCTTTTAATTCTTGTAAGTGAGACATTGTGCAAATGTAATTAAATAGAGTGAATAAATAATGTTGTGTTTTTTTTTAATTAAACAAAAAATACTTCATAGAGCATTTTATGGTTTGTAGTACACATTTCGTGAGTTATCTTTTATTGCAGATCTGTTTTCTTTTCGACTACCATTGAAGGCTAACATGTTACTCATTAAATCTCTTAATTGCATTTTATTTGTCGTATACTAACACTTTTATTTTCTCTACTTCTAGACATTATTTAACCTTTTTTCGGCTTACTAATCCTAATTAGAAGTTCCATGCAATTTGGCACTGTGCATGAAATCATCGCACCTCGCTAGAGAGCAACTGTTGAATGAAAAGTTGGTAATGCGATTACTCACCAGCCCGCATGATTGTTGAATGCTTGTGCTGTGTTGAAAGGGAAAAAGTCGCCTCGCGGCTGTTTGGCGAGGATAATGGCAATGATAGCGTATCCTTTGAGAGATTAATGCCGATTGACAGTAATGGTGACGGCAGCTCTGCCGATTGTACTCATGTCAGGTGTTGTGTGAACTCTTTCAGGCGCCGCCCGTGCGCGGATATACGCCCATGAATCAGGGCCCGCTCTTCGACGACGATCCCGGAATCATGTCCGAAGTGGAGACGGCGAGCACAGGCTTCCGCCGGGGTGGCAAACAGCGATCATCACTGCCCGTCGTGAGGACGCCATCGAAGACCCTTGAGCGTCCTCTAGGTGAGGCCCCAAAAGTCCCCCTATTTGTTCTTTGAGAGTGTCTAAACAACCATCTAACACGCTTCTCACTCCACTCACAGGTCTGGTCTTCCTGCAGTACCGCTCGGAGACAAAGAGAGCCCTCCTGCCCAATGAAATCACATCCATTGACACGGTGAGAGCGCTCTTTGTGCGATCCTTCCCGCGGCAGCTCACCATGGCGTATCTCGAGGGGCCGACAGTGAAAATTTACATTCACGACGCCAGCAAGGACATGTTTTACGAGCTGGAAGACGTCAGGTAATTAACAGTCTTCTCACAAACTCTCGCAGACTCGTGCAAATCGATTCAAAATTCGTCCCATGAGATATGAAGATGGGTGGAGAAAAGCAAAAAAAAAAAAAAAACAGTAGCAAATTCAGCATTTTTATCGCTGCGACTCTATTTTTGGCATCCGGAGGAAACGAGAATGAAAATTTGTATGGTGAAAAATTCATATCACACACTTTATTGGGCGAATGAGGCGAAACATCGGGAGGGAAACCGAGATTTTATAGTTGGACTTTATGTTGCAGTGACCGCAGATTCTCATTCGCTTCGGCTTGTGGAAGACATTTGACATGATTTCACAGCTTTTGGCGTAAATCCTGATTTACGAGTCGTGCAATCGAACCTTTCGATGAAGAGAGCAATCGCGCAATGAGAATAAAACTATCTAAATCATTGCTTTGATTTAAGTGACCATAAGAGTGTGGCATTCATTAGATTTAGGGCTTGTTTTTTCTTAAACATCTAGAGGAAAGCTATAAATACACAGAAATTGTTCCAATTCTTTGATTAGGGTTTTTATGAGAAAGGTTTTTTCAAGAAAAGCCAATGTTTTAGAATTAGACTCTCAAATTACAGCAATATCGCCTTCAAAAACTGCTTTTGCAGCAATAATTCTTGCGTTAAAGTTCATCTTCTCAAGAGTGAATCTTGCAAACTCTCCTTATAGTTAAACAAATATCCTCGTTCTATGCAATTTCGCTGAAGTGTTCTCGACGTCTTGCAGGTCACACTTGAGAGAGATTCGAGATCGGTCTGTGCTCCGTTTGTTTGAGTCAAACGAAGTTCAGCCGCAACACATGATACCGGGCGGGCCGCTCATGCCGCCACAGATGCCGCCGCTGGGCACGCTGCCCTGGGAAGTGGATCAGGTGAGTGGGAGGCAGAAGAGGGTTGTGGGCTGTAGTATGGTCACTTTATTTATGCACATCTTGACATCATTTCAGAGTTACTTCAGCGAACCCGAATTCGATTCTGAGTATCAACATCAGCACATACACAAGAGCAAGGTGAGTGATTTGCCCTCGTCACCGTCCGCCCCAAACCCCACTGCATTGGTCTCTTCTCTAAATAATTTATTGGCCTAGAGCGCCGTAGAAAATGTTATGTACACACGCGCGCGAGAATGGCTGAGATTGACAAGAGAGATGCGAGGGAGAAATCCGATGTTTGGGTGTGAGATTAATGAGTGATTTGTGGGTGAATTGGAATAGTCTAGAACTGCCCGCAGACGTTCGATGATTTGGCCCGGAGGGCGTGATTCATGCTCACGTGGAGATCCTTCCACGCCAGCACAATGGCACCCAGGAAGGGCTCGTGATCGCACGCCGTGCACAGATTCATCACGGCGCGCACCTCGCCCTCGGCGGGTTCCCTGTCGTGCTCCCTGATTTCGTCCTCGATACCCGAGTCCTTGAACGACTGCTCGCCGAACTGCGTCAATCCCTCGAGGATGTCGGTGTCGCGCCCCAACAGGCTGTCGTCGATTATCGCGCCGCCGGGCAGCATGATGAGACCGCGCTTCTGCACGCGCTTGTCCTCGTCCTCCTCCTGCGCCTGGCTGTCGCGCTTGAAGAGGAAACGCGAGCTGCTGGCGTCGTCGATGAATTGCACGTTCGCGGGACTGCCGAGCTGCGCGAACGACGTGGCGCCGCCGGTCGGCGCGGCCGAGGAGGCCACGGGCCCGGGGAAAGTGAGGCTGTTGCCTTGCGGCCTCTGTTGCAGTCCGCCAGTGACCAGCTGCTCAGACAGTAGCCGACCGCCAGTGTGGAATTGCCCATTGACGAACTGAGTGGTAATTGTGGCGTCTTGCGGCTGCGACAGAAGACCGCCCAGGAGCTGCGATGGCAGGCCCTGCACGGGCGCCGGGGGCTGACTGGCCCCCTCCTGATTCTGCACGCCCGCCAGATTCAACCGCACGCGCGTGGCTATTTGTCCATTGGCCAGCAATGGATTGATAGGCTGCACAGGCTGAGGCTGCGCAAGGAATACAAGCATTATTCTCTTGCCAAATCTTCATCTTTCGACAGACGGCAACTTACCGATGGCGTCGGCGGCGTCGCCGTGCTGGAAACTGGTCCGTTGTGATCGAAGTGATGCACGTGATGGTGTTTATGGTCGCGATGTGCTTTGCCAGCACTCAAAGCCACTTTGTACAATTGAATCATCGTCACTTCCGCATGAAGTCCTTCGGCCACTTGGCCGGTGATTGAGGGGCCGCCCGAGAAGATAACTCCATTGCCTTTAATTTGGTGGTTGACCAGCTAAAGGAAAGAAATACAGAAGGTGTGATTCAAAGAATTGTGACAAGAACACTTGAAGATGGCAGTGAGAGATGATTAATGAATGAAGTATCAGATTTCAACGAGTTTAAGTCAATTAAATGCGCTTCAGAAACTCTTTTAATATCACAAGCGATTCTTTCACACCTTGAAAATCATCTGTTCATCGCTTCGATAAATGAATACAAATCCTAGGCAAGGCTGAAGTCAATTTGTGGCTGGGGAAACACGTGTTGAATGGAAGGAGGAAGGAAAGGAAGTCAGTTAAGAGATTACGCGGTTTTTTCTGCGTTTGCTGAAATGATTGTGAAAGATGATTTCCATCCATATTGAATTGGATTTATCGGGTGTAGAAATTGACTTTGTATCTTTATTGCCGCAATCACGCACCGTGAATGGAACAAAAAGAGGCGGGAAGTTGAATTTTCCCACCTTGTGATGACTTCTTTCCTGTGCCCGGGCAATACAACATCTTCAATCATTTTGCCACATGCTCTGCATTTTGTGCAACATCGCAGAGCGAAAGTGTTTGTAATTTTGTCATTTTCCCATCCAAAGAGCGCGCGCGCTCGCCGGTTTTGTGCGCCCAAATCACGAGGTTATTATGGTGCATTTGCTCGGTGAAATGTGAATCACTTTCGCTAAATCACGTCACAGTCTCTTTGTTTCCCAGTCAATTGGGGCTCTTGGCCATTTCACCTGGGCGAGAGAGATTTTGTGCAACATGTGCGACAGTGTGTTATGCAAGACGCGTGATACTCACGCGATTGTGGAAGCCGCGACCGACGCGCTCCGCCTTGATCCACAGCTGCCACTCGCCCGTCTTGCCGTTCCACGACGTGCAGGCGTGATGCCACTGGCGGAACTTCAGTGGGTAGTTGAGGCGGTACAGCGACTGACCATGAACGGCGAGCGACAGGAAGCTGGAGCCCTTGGCGTTGGCCACCCACATTTGGATTTCCCTGTCCTCGCCATCGACTGCAACGAGAGGGAATAAATTCTCGGGTTAATTGCTGGGAAGATTGTAACATTTTGGGTCAATGGGGAGAAAATCCATACAGTACTTTCACAATTCGTGCATCACATATTCTTCTCCTTGTGGTAAGGCGATTCTGAGGTACTTTGGCATCCCATCATTAATTATTTCAAGGTTCCTGGCATTGAATATTCCATAAAATACTATTCGACCCTTTATTTTCAAAAGAAATTCCAAGCAAAAAACCGTCGAAAAGTTGTTGCGCAATGGGGAAAAAAGACAAATCACAAACGGAAATGGTGTATTTTGTGAATGAATAGTTTTTGTCATTGTGTCTTCGGCGGTTGTTGCCGGAAGAGAAGATGCGCGGAGTGCTGAAGATGTTGTAACGCGCGCTGCAGGTGTTTGGTGAGCAAAAAGACATGCATGAGCAACTGAATTGGATAATAATTGACAAGAAATCAATTGCTTGGTAATGACGAGGAAATTCACATACCTCTGATTTATTTGCACATCACACTGTGCCACTCTTTTTGCCCACATTTGTCAGTTCCATTGGCGAAATTGTGCAATTTCGTTAAACTTTTGTCGCGCCAGCGCAAGAAGAACAAGGGATTTGAAGTGCCAGTGATGGAATGGTGAATTAGATGAAACTATGTGAGTGCTCACAAGTGCTGTTTCGTGTACAAAATGCACGCGAACATTGCATGAATTTGCCAAGAAAACTGCACAAAAGATCGCATATTTGTGCAAATGCGCATCACAGAAGATGATGAGGAAAGTTTTGCAACAGTTCAACAAGACTTCTCAATATTGCATTTTTGTGCATTTGCAAACTCGAGGCTTTGATTGTTGGGTGTTCTTTATAATTGCAGAGCGATAATTTAGTGAATTATCGCAAAGAGGAAGTTTCGATTTAAGGAACTGAAGCATGAATGCAAACATTTAATAAAGTTGGCGAATTTTTAGGAAGTCTCTCAAAAGGAAATTTATTGGTGCATTTTGCACAAGATAACTTTATGAAATTCTACGACGTGCTGTTAATTCAATGGTGGACTTTTATACGGTCATAAATGACTTTGTGCTCTGTGTGTGTGTGTGTACATTTTCTCTCGTGGCGCAATGGCTTGCTAAAGAGGTGGAAAATCGCTTTAAATGATTTTAGTCATTTCTCTCTCGCCTTTTTTCCCAATGGCTTCATTATTAATTTTTCCCACTCGCATTTCCATTCGACAAACACTGACAGACGCTATCGATGCAAGACCATGTAAATTACAAGCTTGAAAATTAATTAAAGCGCTCATGGGAGAATAAAAAGAAGTTCGGGTGGATTTTCAATTAAAATTTCTGGGCCGAAGCGTTGTGTGAGGAAATGGAGGAGGTGAAATTTTCATCGCCTGCACAATTGTTGACCCTTTCGCCTGAAAGTACATTTGAATTGACGCTGTGGCGTGCAGAAAAGGACTCGCATTCCACCTCAATTCGCATCTCTCCCATTCACCAGCGTTCGCCGAAAAACATGCCAAAAGCATGCCAATAAGAGGTCACAGGTGCGATGTAATTTCGCCTTTTGAGAGTGTAGCCAATTCATTTGCCAATGTAATTTGACGCACTTGACATGGAAATCAGGTCGATTGGAGCATTTGAAATTGGTTTTTTTTTGTGTGTTTGGCACAAGTGCACAAACACACATAGTTTTTGGCATTGACTCTGGACCGCAACACAATGTCTTTTGCAATCGCAGGCGAGTTTTCACATTTTTTTCTCGTGCTCTTTGTGAGGAGATAAATTTGAAATTTCACCTTAGATGATTTAAATGGACAGCATGAATAAGTGATGAGGAACGAAAGTATCAATTTTGATTTGATACATATATTCTTGAAAGATAGAGAAAAAAAAACTTGTCTGAATGACAATCGTGAGTGGTTGTGGAGAAATTAACAATTCAGTTCAAACTATTGCATTGTGTGATTTATTGACACTTTGTTCAAAGCCCAAGATTCATGACAAGGAGACAAAATGTGTCTCGTGAACAGACATTAAAGTCTGGTTTCAAAGCAAAAGGAATCTACATTAGTGACATTAGCGAAATGTCAATGCATTTTTGATGAAGTGATAATTATTAAATTGAATTGTATATTACGTATTTGACTATTTTGTATTTAAGAATATAGAATTTTCACCTCTGTGCTCAGCTTAAATTGAATTGCTGAGGTACTAATTGGTACTAATTAATGAATTCTGAAATTGAAACAATCATTTTGGAGCACGTTATGCATCAATGCATACTGGAAACCTTGACAATTCATCTATAAAGCAATACTTGCGGATGAGCGAATCGGAGAAATGGTCACAATTTCCAATAACCGTTTCTCTGAGCCTATTGACAATTAAGACTACCATTGAAATAATTTGAAAAGTTAGCCTTTCAAACGCCGTATATCAATTTCACGCATCGTAAATGTATAATTATATATTTTCCATAAGCTATTAGAAGCTTTTACAGCTGTTGTGCATCAACACCCACAATTCATATCAAGATCACAGAATTGTACAGATTTTTCCCTCTGGATTTTAAAGAAAATCACTCAAATCTATCCGACATGGGAGAAAAGGGAGAAAATAGTTTATGTCACGTTGCAAGTTGCTATTTTGTGGACAACAATTGGTTGTGTTCACGCGAGTCTAGCACTTGTGAAATCAATTTTGCTGGAAAGCACAAAGAAAGTCACATAACAAAAGAACATTATTGACCACTCACTTTTACTCTCATTACTTTCATCGTGCGAAAATGCCGTGATTTGCTGTCAATTACGCAGTTTCGTACGCAAAAGCATGTGTCGTGTCGATTTTGAGGACTTGTTGGCGCGATATTATGCTTGTAAAATTATCCGTGCATTGCATAATTATGTGTAAACTCACCTGAGTATGTGAAAACTGTGTGATCTCCAGAATGATTGGTGAATCTCATCCAGGCGCAGAGCGTGAATTGATCCAATTTCGGCAGGGTTTTGTCATATTGCAGCGTCCCGTCGTACTCCAATGCATATTTGTCCACACTACATGAATCGTGCTGTCGATGGTGGTGTTTTGACCAGGGAAGAGGACATGGAAGAAAGTTTGAATGGTAATTTGGGTCACAAGCGACATATATTTCTGCCACACAAAACTTTATAGTTTGCACAGAGAGTCGAGGAGTTGAAAATTATGAGCTGTGGGGTGGCAATTATTGTGTGAAAATGTACTTTTGGAAGTTTTGCATGCAGAAATGAATCTGTTGGACATAACAAAGCTCGGAATAGAACTAAAAATCTCCCCAAGGGTGAGATATTATGACTCCTAGTCATGTACAACTCACTACACTCAAAGGTTAACTAGAATGAAGAGAAATGGAATCAAACCACAATTTTGATTATCAAAATTGGGTAAATTTGAAGATCACTTTCCTGATTAGTACTTAATCAGATTTTCATGAAAATGTGCAATTGTTGTACAGATTTTAGCCATCTTATTTCCCTCTCTTGAGTCTGTCTTTACCACGGGTTCAGCGAGTCCTGTGCCGAAGATGGAATTGGCGCCGTAGGCAAACTTGCCGTGCAGGATGCGCTCCTCCGAGTCCGCGAAGGGCTGCGCGGCCTGGTGGCTGTGGCTGTCAAGGAATTGACTGTCACCGAGGGAGGCCACAGAAGTGGCTACGGCGGGAAGGGTCTGCTTCAGTGTGAAGGCGGCTGGCGGACCCACAATAGGCTTCCACGCCGCGGCCAGCGACATGGGCAGCAGGAGAAGTGCCCGGAAGCTTCGCAGGAGCATTTTCGCACAAGTTCACCAATCCTAGACACTCAGGGGGAGGGAAAGAAGCACTCTTGGCCAATGTCACACTGCAAATCACGCGATCAGGGCTCTCGCGAGGGCTCAACCGAAGGTGGACGTCTGTTTCTTCTTGCAAATCGACAACAACTGACTCTGGCCGTGCAACTGGGCTGCCTTCCACCTCTTCAGATGCTCGGCGATGCCCACGGACGAGTGAGAGAGAGAGAGGGAGCCAGGAAAGACCGCCACTCACTCGTTTTCCCAGCCGGCAATGGAGAGTCCGAATGGCAAGAGATAGCAGCAATGAAAATGAAAGTGCAATACATCAGCGTGATGTTTTCTTTTGGCGCAGTGTGTGCGACTTGTGGTTACCGTCGTGAGGTGACGCAACAGATTGAGATTTTACAGCTTCATGTGGCATCTTCCGTTGAATTTGGAGCAGATCTTGTGGCGAGATGAAGTCTGGAATAGGTCAGATATTAACAACTTTGGATGCTTTTCCTCTGCACAGCGTCTGATCTTCACTTCCCTTTTGTGTTTTATTGTGGGGAGACTTGAGATTATTTTCCGCATAAACCAGGCTGAAAATCTTTTACTTTCACCATGTTTGGATGGTTAATAGTAAACGTTGTGAATTGAAAGCTTTAATAAACCTTGCTCAAGATATCATTAAAATTCTTTATGAGCAAGCAATTCAAAAGCGTCAAACAAAGGGTTTTTGTCAAAAATTATTGGCTTTACTTGAATTTACTCAGAGAATCTCTCAATAGAATTCAATGCAAAAATGTGGAAGAGTAGCTTTCGCGCTGATTTCCATAATCAAATATTGGAGAAGAGTATTATTTGAATGAATTCTCTGCAGCATTTATGTACTGAATTTGCCATTTGAGGAAAAAGACAAGTCTGAAATGGATTATAAAGTCTCACAAATCACATTTCATAAAATCTGTCGCAATTTTCTTTTCGTGCACATGCGAGTGAAATGTCGAAAGATGGATTAATATATTGTCCACAAGACTGACAATCAGAAGTCAGAGAGTTTTTAATCCAATCAACACGTTCAATCTTCAGGCGCTCGTTATTAGATGAATTGGAGAAAAATTTTACAAGTTTTCCATCAGAGTTCGATGATAAAATTCAACCTGTTGCTGAGAATGACCAAAAGCGATGCTGGGCAAAGTTATTGAGCGACTTACGATGCTGATTTGTTGCGCAATCACTGAAAAAAATAATAATAACTATAAATACTTGAGTTTAAATGTTTTGAAGACATTTTTTTGCTCTCCTTTCACTGTGCGCGTGAATTGGCGCTGATCGATTAGCAACAATTCTGCAATGGATCAAAGAGTGTGGGTTGCAGAGCAATCCACAGATGTTATTGCATGAGTGAAAGACTTTTCAATCGGTGCGGCAATAAAACTATGTCAAGAGTTACAAGTGAGAGATAAGAGAGTATCAAGTGAAAGAAAAAGTAAACCACTTTCATCGGCGCCCGAAAAATGACCATTCTTTTTGCTCTTCTTTGCCAATCTCTCCGGCAAGAAATTGTCGCTCTTTCTCAATGAGAGTGTCGCATTTGGCCATCCGCTGAAATGATGCCAAAAAATTATGGCACGATATTGCGTTCACAGAGGCCAATAAAAGTATTGCATAAGACAAATTTAAGAGTTTTGCATTTTTATATCAACTCTTTGGAATTCCCAGAAAAAGACGCCACAAACATTTCAGTTCAAAACTTCAATCATGTTTTTGGTTTTCCTCCCTCTCGCATATTTTGTGTTTAATTCGTGCTTTGAAAAGAGAGAAAGAGAAAAAAAAAACACTCCTAAATCCGTCGAAGCATGAAAATTCATCAGCATAAAAAAATCCCCACGAGGCTCTTCTTGAGGCGCACATAAGCAATTAATCATTAATATTTGTATTAAATATGAGATCATATATTCTCTCTTTCGCTGCCTTTTATGCCATAATCCGCATCTGAAATTTCCCAGTGCAAAAACCATTTTTTGACTCTATTTACTTCCGGCAACCAAATATTTCACCATTGAGTGACGATGGTGCAAAAAATGCGACTTATTTTGTGCGCTTTGGCCAGATATCATCATTTGAGGCGATTAAATGGCCATTTGGGCAGCACTCAGGCTGAAGATATTTAGCGGAATTTCGCCTTTTTCTATCGCACTTCCTCTCTTTTTATGCCGCTGCATTTTATGATCGTCATTTCGGATGATTTTAGAGAAATTGATATTGATACATGTTTCAAACAGTATTGGCTCATAAATGAAAGAAGAATTCAAGCAGTAAATTTCTGATTAACGTACACTTTTCCAATTTTGATTTCAATTTTTAATAAATAATAATTTGTTTCTCAAGTTCTTCTGCACTTTCTTGTGGGGCAAAAATAGAGAAGCTCAAACTCTATACTTCCTCTGTCAGCTTCTCAGTGTGTTGCACAAAGTCGGTATTTGGAGCAAATACACACGACTTGGTGTAATGCAAAAAAAGAACTCCCTCCACGTCACGTGCAATTGGTAAAGCATATATTTTTTCCACTTCGCATGCAGCATTACAAAAGCTCACAGTGGAATTGAATGTCGCTGTAGAGGAGTCAAATGTGTATAATTTAACTTGTTTCGCACTAATCCACAAATACACCGCGATATTACATCATCTCTGTGCTCCATATTGTGCAGTTCATGTACTTGGCGAATTCCATGCCACTCATCATGTTGGCAAATTCCAGCATTTTTGGCACAAAGTGCGATGAGAAGTCACCACACAATTGCAATTGATTTTCTTGAGGAAACGAAAGTCCCAGACAAGTCCCACACTTTCGCAATTCTTCTATCACAGCGCGTGGGCGCATATTTAAGTCCCTTGTTGGTCTTTGAGGAAGTTGTCGCGTGATTGTTCTCACGTGTGCGGCTTTTGAAGTCGCTCAAGAGCCGGACGTTTGATAATGCTGTGAAGAGGACATTAATCGGTTTATGTTTTGCTCCTCCACGGAGGACTCGCAGTGCGGCTTTGTGACACTATTATTGCAATTTACAAGCAAGCACAGACGCGCCTTTTGTGTGTCTTTTAATCCGTCACGGGCAATCATTGTCAGCGTGAGTGGAAAAGGAGCATTGCAAAGGATATTGAAGACGACACTTGCCCATAATGAACAACTCCATAGAACAATTAAAATTCACACTCTATGGAAAATCCAGCAAGACATTTACATGGTAATACCAGCAAAAGACACTCTTGTTAATTTGTGCTGAAATCTCTGCAGTGTGGAGAACTGTCGATCGATATTAAGCTGAGATTTTTGTCACTTGACGCAACCTTTTCAGACTCTCACATCGCTGCAGGACGCTTGACGTAAGACCATCCACATTCAAACCTTGAGCACTCTTTTTTGCACCTGAATAACATTTAAAATGCAGACTTGTGATTAATTAGAGATCACCTTAAGATGTGACGAAGCGAAGTGGCGCGTAGCCCACGGAAAAACGTAAATTATACACAATTCAAACGGAGCTGTTGTGCTCAAGAATTGGAAATGTATAATTAAAATTTAATTATGCGAGAAGGAAGCTTCTCAGTTTGGCGGTGAGTGAATTAATGGCAGAAAAACCACTCAAGAGTGGAGCAATCGTAAGAATTGAAAATGGTTTGTCAATTGAATTAATTGAATATGCCGAGAGCTGAAACCCAGAAATCAGTCGTGACTCTCGTGCAAGAGCAAATATGGGTTTCACAGCGCAGCAGGAGTACAAATATATTGGCTTAAGGAATTCAAGAGTGAGAAATGAAGCATCTGGACATGTATTTTAGAGGAGGAATTTCTGGCAGATTGTACTTTATTATCTGTGGAAAATTTGGACAATGATTGCCCGTAACGGATTAAAAGTTTCCCAAATGAATTTGCATAAAAATTCTAGGCTGCAGTTAATGTGGATGTGTTGCAATGGTAGAATTGGTCTTTAACTCTGTCTCTGTTCTTTAATCTGCTTCCAATCTTTGACTCGTTAATGTCTTGGCGTTTGTATAGAAGCGACTTGAGGCGTGGCCTCTCAAGGGGCGTGGCCTATTTCTTCTTTATACACTTTTAAGATTGGGTTTGAGGAAATCTAACAAACTATTGAATCAAAAGTGAAAGCCATGATTAGAAAGACAGTTTTATCAGCAAATCACTGAGTTTACCCAAATATCTCTCTCAATTTGCAACGATTCATGTGAAATTTGTGTGAAATTGGACAATATGACAATGGCAAAGCACAGCCGTGACTCGCGATGAATAAAATGCTCATAAATGAAAACTCAAGACAAGATGTGCACATTATTTGGGTGTTTGGAGAGGTAAAGGTGAAATGTGCTGTATCAGTAATCGACAGTAAATAATGTGAATAGCAACAGAGTTCAATATCGCATCAATATCTTTTTATGCTGCTGAAAATCCTTAACATATTTTATGCACAACGCGCCATTCAGTGCTGAGTGCTTTTCAATGTGCCATCATGAATGTATCAGTGAACTATGTTCGTGCTCAAATGCGGGAAATTTGAAAATTTCCATACGTGACACCATTGTAACCATCCTCTGAGAGGGTTGTTTTTGGTCACTCAATTTCCCCCAATTAGCATTGCAATGATAATGGAGTCACATGAGTGCTCCATGTTAACTGTGTGACCTCTATGAAATCATCATGCAGGACAATTGACGGTGTTTTTATCATACTTTTATCTCTCTCACTTTCATGTATCCACCAAATTGGCATCGTGACTCTGAAAATGCATCGCGTGCGGCTGTCTCGTTGGCGCTGTTGTAAAATGTACCATCCAAAAATAGGGTGGAAAGGCGCCCTATTACGTTGGAGCAGCTCAAACTCTGCCTCGAGGCATGTACTCGGATCGCAACAAAAATTCTGTGGGTGAGTTTGCCAATGTTTGCCACGCAAAACCCCATCTTTTTGGCAGCCCCCCAGCAAATAATAATGCTGTCGGCAATTACAAACCGCATCGTAATTAGTCAGTACACTTTGATTTAGAGACATTTTAATTGATTGAGTTTAATATAGTGATTAGAAGTGCGGGTGTGTAAATAACTCCCTGTCAATATCATATTTTCATTCATTTATTTTACCCATGTCATCCCATAAAGCTTCTGTAATTCCGCAATAGAGAGAAATCATCCCCAAAGCTCAAGTACACCTAATGCTCATTCATGGAGTTTTTATGAATATTCATGTGTTATACATTTCATTTTCCCTTTGTCTGAGTGTTCTCAGCGTTCAACAGCTCTCGTGCATCGTTTTTGACATCTGCATATGTGTATATTTACTTTTGAGTGCTTTTGTTCTGCGGTTTAAGGTAGGAGTAACTCTGAACTCAATTGGCTAAAAGCATTGGGAAAAGCGTTTGGGAGAATATGCTTCACCCCATTCCAAACCTGGACCATTTATCTGCCCTTGTGGCAATCTATTTCACCCTTTAATCGCATACAATGTTCACTGGTCGAGCTGCAGATGAAAATACATATGAGAACATAGAGAAAAGAACATGTATGAAATTCATTTTGGGGCTTTATATATTTCCATTAACAGTTCACGAGTTTCAGAATGTTAAGGAAAATTTGTTCGTAATTAACAATAATCTCTGTTGAATACACATCTATTCAACGTATATTGTTAATTGGGGATGCAATAAATTTCATATCTATTTGATATAATAGAGAGATAAAGTCCTTGTTTTCTCCCACCTTTCACAAAATATAATCAATATCGATATGCTTGAGTTATTACGTGGAATTTAAACTTCCTGCGCGATGTCCATTTCCATTTCCCACAATTTCCTAGCCATTTTGTGCTGATGAGTAATTTTTCGTGTCGTTGTTACTCGTTCTTTTGTTCTTTTTTCTTCTACATGTGTCACTTTAGGAGTACCGGCGAAACCATTGCGTTCTTACGGTTCACGGGGCAGCATGGGCCCTGCATTCCCCTATCCTCCGGATCAACTGTACAGTATCCCAGGTATAGAACAAATGGCAGGGCATGAGACTTAAGCTGGGCCTTCTCTGGGGACTCTTTGGGGAGTCTTTTGCTGGGTGAAAGAAAGAAAGATGGGAAAGGAATAAAGAGTCTTTATTACTTTCGTTGACTCTATCAAATTAATTGAATCACTTTGTTTCATATAATCTCTTTGTTTTTTCTCTCTCTTGTAATATCATTTCCCTCCTTCCTCTGGTGTTTTACAGGAAATAAGTGGAAAATTTCGTTGATATATGTTACAAAATAGCCAAGCAATCATTTTGTGTCTCATTTTCTCACTCATTAATCATTCTTCCTTAATTTTATTGTTACTCTTTAAATTCTTTATCATTGAATGTAGACAAGTAGAAGAGAGATGGGTAGAGCAAAAGTGAGGTGACAGATGAGTTACGGAGGAGGAAATTAAAAAGATAATAATTAAGTGCATGTGTTTTTCTGTCGTGGGAGAATATAACCATTTGCAAAATTAACTTTACAATGCCATAGACTGAAGAGACTCTCTGTTTGCTCTCCTCCCACGCCAGATGGTTACATGAGCTCACCGGAGAGAGGCACTCGAACAGGTTACGAGGAGCCCTACTACAGCCAATATGGAACGCGTGGAGGCACTGTGACGCCCATCATTGATGAAGAGCACCCGTAAGTGGGATGATTTTGCCTTTCCTCCCAATTTGATACACTAACAACCATTTTCCCTCCACGCGACAGTGACGCCAATCTCACGGAGGATCAATATGCGCTGTATGGCGTGAAGATTTCCGGCAGAATTCCGCGGAATCCCAATCAGATCTACGATCCGACAAGGTGAGTGTCGCTATTTGCAGCTTTTCTTCTTGAAAATATATATGTATTTGAGAGCACTTCACAATATTATCGCTGAGCTGTACACCACTTCTAGTCATATAATCTCGCCCTTGGAAATCAATGTAATAATAACCCGTGCGCAAGAGCTTTCGCCAAATTGACTGAAAAACTTTTCTTCAATCGAACTTTGTCAACTTTAATTACTTAAGCGCGTGTACAGCCAATATTCCTTTTGAGAGAAAAGACATTTTCCTTTTTCGTGCATTTGATATTTTGTGGAAAATGGTGCGCTTCATGGCACTGAAGAGGGAAACTTTTGCGCTCTGCATAAGCTTTTCATGAGAGAGAAATGTTTCATAGGAATTACAAATTATCAATTCCATGTCATTCATGACGAGTTGAGAATTGAAAGACATGGACAAAGTTTGGTTACATTCAAGAGAGACATATTTAGGTCTTTTCTTCCTCAACAAGAGCGATAAATTGCAATATTTCCCTCAGAAGAAATGGTTAACTTATCTTGACATGTTTCACAAAGTATACTAATATTTCAATGTCTCCTTATTCAAGCCCAATAAGAGAAAAATCAAGTGCATGATTATGTGAAGCAACTGGAATGACATATATTTTAAATTTATTCTTCAGAATTTTAAACACTAAAACAGTAACTATAAAACCGTTCTAAATGTGAATTAAAGGTCGTGTGATTATCATTTTGATAAGCCTCCAATTCACTGTATCCCCTTTGCTGTCCCAGAAATATTTAATAAACCTCCCTTAAAGTATTTACAAGTCACAGTTCGCCTTTTATCTCTGGCACATAAATCGTGGCTGAGAGGCTTCACATTCACAGTGGAGGAAATGGCTTTTCTCTCTTTCGGGCGGGCAAAAAGCAATTATTTCTGTGCCATATCATCACGGCGAGGGGTAAAAAAGCATTAGTGCAAAGAGAGAGAGCGAAAGTCTTTGGTGAGAGATTTATTTCATCTGGGATTCGCATTGAGCGCAAGGCGAATGCGGACACTTTACACGTGATTCAGTTTGACAAATTGTTCAGCCGCCAGGACGAGGCCGCGATACAGGTCGTCAGGACTGGGCGCGGCCGCGCCGTCCATCGCCTGTGGAGCGGCGCGACGTCTACGGCCGAAGGAGGGGCGCTTCTTCTTCACCGTGCCGAGTGCGGCGGTGCTCATGGGCATCAGGGACGGGTGATAGTACGTGGTGCCTTTGCTCTTGATGGCCTGCACGATCATGCACAGGAGATAGCCGCCGAAAGCCAAGAAGGCCAGGGCCGTGACGCTCAGTTGAAAGATCTTTTGCACCTTGCTCGACTTCGTGTCTTGCCAACCTTCTGCGGATTTATGGATTTTCTGCAAGTGATGTCCAATAAGTGGAGCAGCGCTGATGTTGTGGTGATTGCCGTCGCTAATTGCCATCTGTGGCTGCTGATGAGAGGCAAAGAAGTCATATTTGGATGTCTTGTCGACGCACTGATCCTCTCGCGGACACGTATTTGAGGTGAACATCTCGCTTAGGCTTTTCTTCACCTTCAGCAGAGCACTCAAAGGGAGATCGTTCAAGTACGTGAAGTTCTCCACGGACGCCACAAGTGAAATGTTGATCCACAGCACTGACAAAACAAACACCATTCGCCACTTCCGCGCTAACATTTTACTCTCACGTGGCCAAAGTTCGTGTGGGATTTTTCGGGTTCTTGTGTTCAACCGCAGCGCTGGAAATTCTTCAGACAACTGAGCAGTGGAATGCACAGAGAAGTGCCAGAGTTCATCATGGTGAAAATATTGCACAGAGATTCTCTCGCTGTATCTTCTCAAGTGTGTCTTTTAACCCAGGTTTAGCGGGAAGCGGGACTCTTTTGACTGCAAATGAAGATTTCTCAATGGATTTCTTTCATCGTAGACTTAAAAGAGAGACGATAGTTGACAACGATTTTAAAAGCTTTCCAAAAACTCTTGTATTCTTCTCAATGTCATAGCAATTTTGCCCCAACGGGCCCTATTTCTGTACGTGAGATTGATGTCATTGCAGTCGAGGTGGATGCTTTTCACGCAACGCTACCCTCTTGTGTGGCATCTTCGCATGCTCAGCCATGAAAAAGCGCCACAGACAAATTACGCATTCAGCACAGAAAGAGAGATTTATTTCCTTTCCTCTCATAAGAGGTGAAATGTATGAATTAGGAATGAGATATTTATGTCTGACACAGCTGAGCGTTATTGTTTGCTTGGTGCAAAGTGAAATGAAATAAAATGAAGATCTCAACACAGGACAATTGAAGTGACAATATGTAGAATTACAGTTCAACTTCTTCCACAACATTGAGCCAGAGTAAAAGTTGGCAAGCAATATATAGAAAATATTCCGGAAAATATTGAAAAACTTTTTTGGCTTTCGGCTATTAAATGATATGAAACCAAAATGATCAAGATTAAATGCATAAAACTGCATTAAAAAATCACGAAAATCAAGCTTATAAGCATAATTTTCCACTTTATGCCATTTTTTGTTCGTGATTTTATCGATTATGTGACAATGTTTGCATGGATTAAATGCACCCAGAGAAAGTAATGGGTTTATGTGGGTAAACAGAGAAATGTTATTAAAATTGTTTAAAGTGATTTTTTTTGCTTCCTGTCGCATTAACAATTTTCAGCTAAATTACTTCTTCAACGCGTAGCGCTGTGTTCGAAAATAAATTATCGGTTGTGCATATTCATTAGCACACAGTGTAGATCGAAAAGAATATGTAATTATGTGCTTTTCGGATGGTTTCCTGGAAGCGAACAAAGCGCCAGTTCAGTGATTTTGATGTAAAAGCGCATATTGAGAGGTCAGAGGAACTGACAGTGCTCAAATATTAATGAATTAATGAGCACACAGACTTAAGGGCTTAAAGTGTTAGATAATGCCAGAAATTTGCGGACAAATTAGGAAGTGGTGTACAGATTTTAGGCAAACCACCTCCTAATTCGACCTAATTGGTCTCTCCTCAAATTTCAGGCCTGAGGACTTGCATCGCATTCGCGTGGAGCACATGGAGCGTCAATTGGCAAATCTGACGGGACTTGTGCAGAAGGCACTCAATCAAACGCCCCAAATTGCACCGATGTCGAACATCAATCAGCCTGGATACTTGAATGTGCCAGGACAATGCCGAGGTAAGTTTCACTCAACAAATACCATCACATTCAATGATAGCGTGCGTGTCAAGTAACCTGACAAAGCAGCCTTCGCGAGTCCACGAGGACGCGCTGAAGGCATGTTCAATTGCAAAATTGGCCAAAAACTGATCCAACAATGTGCAGGAATTAAGTACAAAACATAGATTTATATACAAATTGGTTGGTAGAGCATTTTTTTCTATCCTACACATTTTTGCATTAATTTGAAATTTGAATGCGGAGAAATGGAAGACGTTGATGCGCAATCACACCAGAAGAAGGATAAAAAAAACATGTAAAATGACATTGGCTTTAGAACTATACATAATTATTTCACCCTCACTCTTGTGACCACTCATGATGCTATTGCTGAGTTTTTTTTATTTAACATACATTTTCTGTTATGTCTTCCACAACAATGTAATTGAATTGCAAAAACCATTTAGGCATATTTTGGCTCTGTTGATAAATTTAATTATATTGTTAATTAGTCACGCTGAAGTCGACAATGAGTAGATAATTGATGATTATTTTGGGTGTTCTCATGTGCGTCTGTGTCATTTTATAATTTTCAATTATGCGTGTGTAGATGAAAATTGTGGCAACATCAAATTATGCAAAGAGATTGCTCATCACACTGAGAAGCAAATATGTTTTTTTACCACCACAACTTCTTCATCCCTATTGTTTTAACGCCACATTTAGTGCGTTATGAGAGATTGCTAAAAGGTGTCAAAAGCTTCCTCGCAAAAAACACCTGACAAAATCATTGGAGACTTTAACCACCCAAAAAATTATCCATATTGACATGCTCGACACGAGAAAGCTTGCAATCTTTACGGTTTTATGCACATGAGCGCTGCATAGAGTCGTGAGAAGTGTGTGTTTGTTGCCCCCTTTAACCGTAAGTTGATGCTTTTAACTCTATTTTAGTAAAAGATGTCTTGTATTCTTTTTCTCTTTTTACTCTCTCTCACTCTCCTCTGTGGTTCACATATCAAACAATAAACTAACAAAACATAAACAGTTCCGGATGAGATTGATGGGCACTCAAGCAGTAGTTCTACTTCTGTTCAAGGTTAGAAATGCACACAGTTTTCTTTTCATTTCATGGATTTCTCGAAATTGGTTACAATGCTCTTTGGTAATAAATATAAATTGTCACTTCACAATGATAACAATGAAAAATAATTGGCAAAGGCATAAGAATTACATTAAATATAATATATTATTCGAAATTTCTCTGCTTTGTTTTTGTCCACAAAACCAAAAAAAAAAGAATCACATAATCAAAATTACCTGTAATTGTATGTATAATACTCGTGATTGTTTGACCAACAAGCTAACGGCACGATGGACGATACTTACATTAGAGAAAAACCGCCAAAGCTGGGCAGAACTTCATGTCGTAAGTGTCTCTCAACCTCCAAGAGTATCTCTGTCTTCTGTGCTTTCCACTGTTCTGAACCTCCAAAGTCCCACTCTCGTTTCTTCACCCTGTTTCCTCTCACTTTCCACGCTATTTTCCTTTCTATATAGAGAAATTTAGTGAAATTCCTCCGTCGCATGTCGCTTTTTTGAGGCATTCTTTTAATAAGTTACACTTTTATTTACCCACATGTGTACAAAAAACAACTTATCCATTGCAGAGACTGTAACATATGAAAATCATATGAAATCACAAGTCACCTTGTGTTAGAAGACGAAGAAAAAAACACAGCCTGTATATACTAAATTTCTCAAACTTTTACTCTCTGAGTGAAAACAATGTTATACTTGTTTTCAGATAAATAAATTTATCTGTCACAGACCGTGACTTTTGCCTTCAAAAAAAAAATGCCAGCAAAAAACTGGCTGCAAAACACGAAATTATGCTAATTCCCTTGTCTTTTTGTCAACTAATTAAAAATTCACTGCGTTTGTGATTAATTATTGGCGCTGCATTAATATTCACTTTGATATCAATAACAACTTTTTTCGCCAACTTTTAATGATGACTGCAAGTTTGCAGCATTGGAAATGTGGAAAATATAATCCGGATTCAGTACTCTAATTTGCAGCACATAAACTTGTTTAATAAAATCACAAATAGTCTTGTTTTTCCATAGCAAGCGAGCGCATTTGACACTGGAATTTGAGTAAATACAGCTTCTAGATGAGCATTTTAGTCAGTGACAGCAAACACTGAGAGAATTTTCAAGTGACTACCAAATATCATACGTCAGTTATATAGAACTAAGGACTTAACTTAATCAGAATTCAGACAAACTCCATCAAGTGCTGTTTGTTAATTAGTTTTCCCAGAAGTTCCCAATAGATTATTGTGTGACTTGGCGAATTGTTGAGATGGAGAATCGTATCAGCATGATATTTGCTCTGCAGAACACTTGAAATTGTCAATTGCATTGCAATTTCATGTAAAATTACCGACCGAATGAATATGATGAGTAAAAATGATGGGAAAAACCAAACGAAGTGAAGTAGAAATTATTCCTTTTGATCAATCCAGCTGTGTAACTGCGTAGTGAAGTTGTGTCTTCCCGTCTTGTTTGCTGTATATCAAAAGCATTTCTGCACTTTAAAAAAAAAATCTCCGTTACAAAGAACCGAGCCATTGATTTACTTATTTTTCACCTGAATGAATCCCTACTGGAATCTTTGTGCCTATATTGCCTGTTTGCCTTCTTCCATTCTGTCTTAAAATACTTGTTATGCAATGAGAGAAAATTTAAGAAATTCATTATTTGTTAATTTTAATTCAATTCTTGTACCAAAAAAAATGATGAAAATTACAAAATAGCTCATAAAGCAAAATGTGTAATTTTCACTGTAAATCTGTATTTTCAGATTCTTTCTTCCCTTTCTATTGTTAATTTCCTTTCTGTCTCTTATTAATATAATCTCTCTGGATTTACCTTTGCATTTGAAGAGTGTTGTTTGAGTCAATTTCGATGAAACTATTTTCGTTATTATTTTCAATCTTCTTTCAGATAAATCAGTATCATTTGAGAAGTCAGTGTCATTCAGTGATGACATCCAAGGAGTGCCAAAATCTCACAGTCCTCAGCATCCCGGTAAATCTCTCTCATGTAAAATTACGGCAGTTTGATGATACACTCACGGATTGATGTGGAGTTTTTTTTTATATTAATAATAATTTCTTTTTGTAATTTTGCGTATCTTTCCTTTGAAGTTTGTCGTGTGTGTAGATAATATATATATTTTTTAACAGACTTACATGTGTGTATAAATATCTTTTATTGGTCTTGAAGCAATTTGCAATGATTACTTTTTATATTGTTTGTCGTACTGCCAGCGTATATAATTTCTTTTAATGGTAATATTTGATAAATTAAATAGACATTTGTGATGAATGGCACACAAATTACTTCACATTTTCTTATACAAATTGGAGCATGGAAAGTACACAAAACAAAAGTTATAACACTTTTATACTTTGTTGATTCGACTGAACACCACAAAATTGCATGTTGAGGGCATAATATTTTCCTTTACATATGCAAATTATAGGCATAAGTCTTATTGTTTCGTTCCTCAATTAGCTGTATAATCGAGACATGCGATTTACCTAATAAGGAGAGGACACTCTTGATGAAATGTTGCAATACAACACAACACGTGGCTTTTATTTTGCCCTACCGGAGAAAAAAAAACTTTCTTCAATGGACAAATTGAGCAATTTCCAAATGATTTTGTATTTCCCTGTGAGACAATGAAATGGACCAATTCTTGCTGCGAATTTTATATCCATAATTGTGTGAGACTCACTAAGAGGAAGTCACATCAATATATTGTTTGATATCACTGTCCAAATGGGGAAAATAACTCCTATTTGTCGTGATTGTGTGTGCGTGTGTGTGTGTGTGATTTGAGTTTTTCCTTTACTTTCTTCTTGCACATTTTGGACCAACAACCCAATAATTTGCAATCTATATATATATATATATATATAAAAATTAAGTACATTTTATAGAAGACACAAAAAGGACAAATATCCTCTTTATTATTTCACTCCCTTTCATGTACGATACATGTTTAAGTAGTCACATTTATATTCTAATCTATATACTGTTTTATACACAAAGAAAGCCATCGAAATGAATTTTTATGGCTATGAGCGCTATGCAAAGCCAACAAAACAAAAAAAACATACAGAAAGAGTTAGATATAGAAGCTATAAAAATTGTATTTTCTTGAACGAAATGCTGCTCCCCTTCTCAGCTGATTCCAAACCGCCAAAATCAGCCATAAAATCTTCAACGCTCCCGAGAACGTCATCTCAAGGTAATGTTTCCAAGACAAAACCTGTGTAAGGAGTCTCTCTGCCCTCCTGACCCGCATCCAGAACATCCGAAAGTAGAGCACCACCAGTCAAGATCATCCCAAATGTGAACAAACCCTCGATCGAGCTGTTGTAGTTTTCTCTGTTGGTTTTCTTACCTTTGTTTCTTGTGACAATTCCGCATGCCACACTAAATTCTTTCCACTGGCCTTTCGTTCTTGCGTTTCTCTCGTTTCTTTAACTCTCAAAAAACCGAAAGCCTCCGCTAACAAACTCACAATCTCGAAGCGAGATTCTACGCTACCCAAAGCCCACATTCGCCTATTTCCTAATGGTGTTCCTCTTTGTGTTCTTTCCTTTTCAAACCGTTCCTCGTGCAGAGCGCGATCGCTTGAAGCCCCAGCCGCCGCCAAAGCCGCTCGTCGTCGCCAATGCGCATAACAACTATCGGCCGGACCTCGCCTTGGCGCCCGAGGTCTACAATCATCTGCGCGGCCTGCAGAAGAAGGCGAAGGACCTGCGAACGGAAGTGCGCACGCTGCGCCGCCTGTCGCAGGCTCAGGCGCTGGCCGTGCGGGAGGACATCAAGGACACCTTCATGCGCATCCGGGCGACGCTGCTGGCCAGCGGCAACTCGTACTGGGGCCAGGGTGATCAGGAGAACACGCGCCTGTCGCGCGATGAGGAGCTGTACAAGCAGGAAGTGGTGCGTCTGGAGAAGGACCTCAGCGACCTCGAGGCGTCCGTGGAGGGACTTCGTGGGGAGGTAATCAACAGAAGGACGAGGGTCAATATGGCAGCAGTGGAAGACATGGCGCTGGTGCTAAGTCGAGCCAGGTAAGAGGAATCCTACATTCTGTGTTATTCTGCATTTTTTATGGTGTTAATGAAACAGACACCTTTGACCAGTTGATAAATATATGGATCAGATTGCAAATAAAATATTAATTAATATTGACCAAAATAATATTGATGTGCATTCAAAATAAATAACACGAAATTAATACTCATTAATTAAATATTTCAATTCCTGATGAACATATCGAATTTCACCGCAGTTTTAAAATAAAAATTCTACTTTTTTTGGTTTCTCTTTGACTTCCTATTATATAACATATAAAGCTTCGCATTATATTTACACGTGACTGTGAATAATTAATATTTGAAACAAATGATTGCATTGAATTCAACAAATATGACAATGTTATGTATATGAAAATTATCAAATTGATTCATTGTCTTTCCCGCGAATAAAATTTTTATGTCGCACAGATGTTCCATTAATTTTGAAAGTCGAAAGCTCCCGAAATCCATCATTACTGATGATAAAGTACCAGTGAAGAGTCACTTCAAATTTCACTTGCTGCGAAAATCCATTTATCTTCCTCTCCAGGAATAGAATATTTCTGGGTGGAGGAATTTTCTGCATCAGTGCAAGACAGATTTGCTCGCGAAAATGCTGTGAGAAAGAAATGTGGTGGGAATTTGAAGAAAAAAAATTGCAGTGTGAAAGAATTCAGATTTTTACATATTTTTCCTCCCACTTGATTTGCAGGATGCAAAAGATGTGGAATTATATTGAAATTCTCAGCAGCGTATTTCACTATTTTATTGTGTATTGATATTTATGATGATAATAGTTTCACTTCGTGACTCCCTTTTCAATTGATATTCATGCTGCGTTGCATTTTCTTTTCTGTTTCGTAGCAAAACAGTGGCGGAATTGAAGATGCGTTTTCCGGGACTGCAGAATGGACTGCGAAATATCTTGGCGAGCGAGATGGAGAAGGTTGTGCGCGAGGAGAAGTTCCTTAAGGAGGAGCCAGATCGTCTGGAATCGGCGCTGAGGCGATGCAAGAAACTCACTGGAACTCTCGTGACGCTCAAAAGGTTTTTCATTCTCTCTTGGAACAATTTCTTTCTGTTTGTGAATCTAATAGATATGGAAATATGATTTTACAGATTGGCCAGCGTTCAGGAGCAAAGGACATGCGTGGAACCTCAGCAGGATACTCCTGAAGCAACACGTTCAGCCGAAGTGCAGACGACAAACAAGGTATTTCTCTCTCTCCATTAGTTTTTCTTTCCTGTTTGGCTCTGAATGTGGGAAACATTGTGGAGTTGTATTGAATTTTTCTCTCTTCACTTTAATTGAAACCTTTATGAATAATATTGTGAATTTATTTGCGACGAAGAGTATTGAGTTGATTTCCTTTGAGATATCATTTCTGGTTTCTTATAAAAGAAAATATGTTTGAATTGGCAGTTGAAGGCAGACATTCGTTTTGTTCATCGTTCCGTATTATTGTTTATGAAGATTCTTAATATATAAAGAGATTTAGTTTGAAAGGCTCCTTTTATCGTAGCTTTTTCGTGGCATTGGCAGTCAAAAGTGTCTTGAAAGTGATGATTTTGAGTGTCAATGACCCAAATTGGTTAAACTATGAATTTTTTCAGTATTTCTATAACCAAACAAAAGACCTTTTTGTGTGGATATTATAACTTAATAATTGTATTCCCTCTGCATGACTCTTCATTAATTTTTCTTTTACCTTATCATCAATTTACATCTGAGTGTGAAAGAATTATACAAGTTTATATTTGCCTACAGAATAATTGAATATAAATCATCCAAGTAACATTCACAATACGAATTCAATCATCTCATGAGATATTTCTTAACTCATCACCTCTATTTTCGTTACACTTTCGTTTTCCGTCACTTAATTTCAATCAGACTCATTGGCATTCAATCTGACACCTTCGTAATGTCATGAAGGTTTCTTTATTTTTTTATCGAATTCTCAAAATTGTTTGTTTTTTTTGCACAAAGTTTAACGAAAAATTATAGAGATTTTCATGAGCTCTCGGTACATTTCCAATGATCTTTGTGGGGTTGTTCTCAAGCTATAGATTTCTGATTGCTTCCTGGAGAAAAGAATCTTCACTTGTCACGCAGGGAAATCTCCCAATTTTCATTTCGACACTCATAACAATATTCCACACCAATTGTAATTGTTTTTGTGCCACAATAATTCACACTCCCTTCACTTTGCAATCACGCCTCGTTCACATGAATTTATTGGCAATTCTTGTGAATATAAAAAAGAAAATTCTACCATGTGAATGAAGCTCTTAACATGAAAATACTGCACTAAAGCAACACCTTTATTATAAATGAGAGCTTTTAGTGGAATCAAAAGAGGAAAGAATTGAGACACGACCTAAAATCAAGATCACAATTCCTGCAAGTTGTGTTCCACATCCTCCCTTTCATTTGGAGTTTACCTTAGTTCCTCAATCAATGTTTGATGTTAACGATAAGACTATAATAAATATACAAAAATTAACTCTAACAATAAGTGACTCCCAAAATTTCTGTATATAATTATTGCAAGAAAGACAGATGAAAAGGCCTAATTTTTTTTGCAAATCCCTGAAACATGATCAAAAGAAGAATAGATATAACACATTTTTTCTCAAGTTTTTAGGCATTTATCAATAAAAAAAAGAGATAATGCGGAAGAAAAAAAACCGTGACTGAAAAAGAAAATGGCAGGAGAGGAAAAGTGACATTAAAAAATCTTATCGTCTTTTCTGTTTACATGCAAAATGCAATAGTTCAACTGGCGATGGAGTTCTAACTTCAAAGAGGCGATCAATGAGTAAATTCTCATTACATATTCTTAAACAAATTTTACGTTTTTAAATCATTCGGATATCTCTAGAGTTTCTTTATGTTCACAAAAATATATATCTTTTGTTACCTCTCTTCTCTCTCTCTCTCTCTCTTTTATCGAACTCTCTTCAAGATGATAAGATATTGATATTCACATACTCTTTATTTATTCACAACACTCTTTTTTTCTTCTCTGTGTTTCACACATAAATGTATATTTCTTCAAACACATGAAATTTGGTTTTTTATTTGTTGCGTTCCTTCAAACACATATCAAACACATTTACACAGTCGTCGCAAGAAAAATAAGGCATTAAGGGTATTTTGGAAACGTCTACAAATCCAACTAATCTGAACCAACTGAAATAATTTAAAAAATTTTCATTGAAATCATGAAAAAATGCGAATTTTGTTATTCGTTTTCTTTCTTGTAAACTTCAATCAGAGTTTTTTGTAAAGTAAATTTTGTAGGTTGCCTTATTTTTCTGACAGTGACTGTAGTTTTTCTATATTTTCTTTTATCAAATTATTATTTTCAGATTCTTTATGACAATTTTGTTCGGACAAGAAACACAAATTCTGCATTTCTTTTCAACACATCAATTTTGAATGATCTCTAAATTTATCTAATTGTCACAGATTTTTGACTATTATACGTTTTTTTTTAATGGAAATTAATTTATAGGAAAAACGTTAAATGTCGATGTGGAATGGTTTATATAAATTTTTCAAATATTTATTCAATTTATAAAAAAAATTGAATTTTATATACAGAATCTATGAAAATTGTGTTTTTTGAAAATTTCTCTTCAAAAACAAACTGTTTAAGAAGTAAAAAAAAACATGAAATGAAAAAAGAACAGAAATCAAAATTCTCATCTCTAGAAGTATCATTATTTATTCTTCTTCTTCTTTAGCATCAAAATGAGCCAAATTTTATTTACTTGTATGATTTGTTATGGAAATTCTCACCCTTCGAACCCTCAATCACACCCAAAAGTGCCCCTATAGTAAGGTACATTGGAAATGAACATGACAAACAATGTTAGATGAAATGAAGAATTCTTATGCGATTCTTTTCTAATCATGCAATTTAATGGACTGAATATTTCCTATTCAAGTATTCTTAAGCAGATTTTTGCAGATTCTTTCTCAGTTGTTCCTTTATAAAAAAATTTTCCTTTTGAATGATTTAGAGAGTTTCTTTTAGACAGAAAAAAATCCATTGTTCTCTTATTCTCTATATACAATATAATAATTATTATTGTAGCCTTGTAAATATTGATTTCGATTGATATCCTTTTTTTAATTAACCTAATTACTATTATTACTATTGAATTCCATATAACTTTATATATTATTAGTTTAGTGATCGAAAAATGCCACATTGAGATTTTATATTACATTTACTATATGATACAAATTGAAATATTTTATTCATATAATCAAATTGAACCTTACTATATGGGAGAATTTGTGCTTCTTTGCAAACGTTTCATTTAATTCTCTCACAAAAGCCTTGTTTTCTAACAATTGGATCGCTTTGTCACAATTCTTCACCAATTTTAGTGGATAATTGAATATAATTTCTCTTTCACATTAATTTCCTCATTCATTCACACGTAAAACTCAATTGATCAGAGATTTTATCTGTTAATGGAATTGCTAATAGATTAACTTCTATATTTGCATGTGTATAATTTTAGCAAATCTGCATTATTTCATAGTAATTCTATATCTCTATAGCTTTCGCTTTATGGAATAATAGCCATGAAACTGTCTGAAAGTTGCTTCCAAACCATCAAACTGATTCGTTAGTGATTCTATCGTAATTTGATTAAAGTGCATTTAAATCTCTAATAAAGAATCAATGCGATTGTCTGGGAGCTTCTCAATGCACAAGCACGATTGCAAGAGCTCAACAAGTGTGACACAAACTTATATTCGCTATTGTGGCTCTGGAATGTGAGGTGCAACTTTTTTTTTCGAGTGATTACGCTGAAAAGTGAGCTCAATGAGGCGCTAAAGAGCAACATGAGACATTCTTGTGCGCTTCACCTCTATTATTTTCCGATTTTTGTGCTCTTGTCTAGACATTGCAAATGGGAATGTGTCGTATTCGGAGGAAAGTGATGAGATACAGTCGTATCTCGGAGGAATTGACTGTGTGGAAAAGAGAATATTTTGTCAATATAATTGTCCCTTTGATCTTCAATATATACAATCGTGCATATTGAATGTGCTCGCTGATGCTTTGCAAGGAGTTACTAATGGTCTGTCTTCTCGTCTGGCCCTTTGCTCGATAATTGCAGCCAGTCCCAAGCCCCAGGCTGGGGACGGTCTCTATCAGCGGGGGAGTCGCACCCGAAAACGCACTCGATGCCCTGCTAGATGAATTGCAGACATTCGCGAAGCCTCCAGGCGCCAATTCTGAGGTAAATTGAGCACCAAAACTGTGCAAATACACACAAAAGTCACCACACGGACACAGCAAAACCAACTCAATGAAAGTCTAGCTTTGCAATAAAAAGTTCTCCCCAAATAACATATGGATGAAAGTTTACAGAAACTACATGTCAAAAATTAGGTCAAGTTGTCACAAATGTGAACTGATTCGATGTAAAAAATGTAAATAACACACACATAAACTTTTCAAATACCAACACTTGAAATATCATACAATTGCATGAATTCTTGGCGGTAATAACTCACGGACGAGACACGCCATGTGATTTCAATAGATGTCTGAACTTCGGTAAAAGGATTGAAAGAGGAAAGGAGAGACAGAAATTTCCACGAATGATTTCCCAAGAATCAAATTGCTAATTTCACTATGGCAAAACTGTCTATCAATATATCTGATAAAACTTTTAATTACTAACACTTGCAATTGTAATGTGGAACATTGTACGAAAACGGAAGAAAAGTATTTAATGGGCGGAGCTTCTGAATGGGCGTGTCTTTGCTTCTTTTCGTCAAGTTTTTTTTAAGAGATCACAGGCAATAGGAAAAGTATAGCGCCAGAAAATACACCATGCAAATATTAAGCAATGTATATCGAGTAAATAAAGTTGAACTAGCGATAATTCACTTGCAGATGCGTCCAGACGACTCCACCTCAGACGACAGCTCCCAAACCCTCCAGAATACCGTAACTACCCAATTATCTCAATCTAGTCTCTATCCCTCTGATCCTGCTGCCTCGAATGTAGGTCTGAGGCGCCTCCACTCCTACCCCAGTGGCTCAGATACGGACACAAGTCCACCACAGCCGAGGCCCGTGGGAAAGCCGCCCGTGCCGGAGCGCAACGCGGAGCTCCTGTCGAAGGTGAGCGCCAAGCGCATTCCGCCGCCACCGCCGCCCAGGACCAGCTCCCGCAGCCCTCTGGCCAGTCCCACCAGTCCCAATCTGCCGCTGCGCTCAGCGTCCGTGGACGTCGAGCCGCAGCACGACTTGAGCGGCGCCAACTCCACCAGCAGCAACGATTCGGTGAATTCGCAGGACCAGATGCAGCGCCAGATGGCCCTGGAGCTGCGCCATCAGGAGCTGCTGAAGAAGCAGAAGCTGCTGCAGGAGCAGTACGCCAGGCTGCAGCAGATGAGCAAGAACAGCATCGCACTGCCGCCGAACGCCAATGCCAGCGCCGAGGCGCAGCTCAAGAAGACCGGCAGTGAGTCGAATCTGCCGCAGAAGATGGGTCTCAACATGGCCATCACGGGATCCATGAAGAATCTCCACAGTGAGGCGTTCGTGGAGGTCGCGAAGGTGACGAACAACGGCGGGCCGAACACCGGCTCCACCACTAGCAAAGTGTACGAAACGGAGATCCTATAACAAAACGGGAAGAGGTGGAGTGAAACTGATATCGATGCCACACTGTAATGATCAACACTCCTCGGGGATGTGTCGCTTCCGCCAGAAGACGATCTTGTGTTCCCAAATTACTGCACTCCACGTGTGTGTGTGTGTTTGCAACAATTGCATGTCTCTTGTGTTGTTCCTCGGGATTCTGTCCATCGGAGAGTGACACATCCCTGAACATCCCTTCAGTCCACTAATCCCTGTGTCCATTAGCCACACTTATCGAGCATGAATTAGACATAGGTCAATAAGTAACGTATGTCATGTGGAAATATTAAAGTCTCTTCCTCGCGGAAACTCATCACTGTCACAACTCAATCGATTCCGTGAACGATTTGTGCAGAGGCAATTTAATAAGAATATGAATGTAAACTTAACGCAAAATCTAGGGAATTTCATCAAATATAAAACTAAAATATAACACATAATTGTCACACATTTATCCATCTTATACACGAAACCACGGAGAGGAAATAGAAACATTTTACAGAATGGCAGTGCTGTGGTGAAGAGAAGAGTGGATACTGGCGGATATCTAGCGAATGAATGATGCGATAGTCAAAGAATTACAGTAGTTGATTGATAGTTGATTAGCTCCACCACCAGTTTGTGCCAATCTTTTTAATATTTTTGCAATATATATATATTTATTATGACACAAAAGAAAAGTAAGTACACCAAAAAAATTATAAATTTACACTCATCCAAATTGAATAGCGAAAATATTAAGTCCTTCAATGTTCAGCTCACCTTCATATTTTTCTAAATCTTACCGACAAGTCCAACAATTTTTGGCCCCTTTTCGGAAGAGCGAAAATGAGAAAATTCAGCGCAATTTTTACACTAACAACAACATTTGAATTAACACAAAATATCATATAGCTGTAGATAAATTTATTCGTTCAACATTGAAATCTCACGATATTGCCATACAATGTTATTCAATTAAAATGATATGCATACATCGAATATATAGAGACAAGAGCTAGATGGTTGTCACCAATAGTTTGCATTCGAGTCCCTTCATTTATCATCATAATATCTATCGTAATGTCATAAGGCATATTTCAATGGGTGAATCAAATGGCAAAAAGTCATGCCCTAAAGTTGTGTATAGAGAGAATGTAATACTCTTAAGCCCAGTGTCTAAGGAGGAAAGCCAAAAAAGTATTATTGGAAAACACCAAGTACAGTATATATGGAATTATATACATAAAATAGAGGAAAAAAGCATAATATCTGATATATAATAAATATTGATAACAGATGAATGAAAAATGTTCAATTGAGAGTCTCTTTTTTGTTTGTTCAGCCAATTTTATTTAGTAGATCATTAAATATTTATATTTCTTGTATTTAATGGCATAAACTTGCAGAATTTATTTCGAATGTATCTAGTTGTAGTGTACATATAATTTAACACAACTAAAGTCTCTCAATAGGAAGGTCTAAAAGAGGAAAGAGAAGACTCTCGTTAGTCATTGAAGGTTTGTGCTAAGTTTAATAAGTAAGACAACCCTATAATGAATTAAGAAATAAATAAAAACAAAATTGTGGATATTCAAGTTGTTAAGATGCTGAAGATGGTTAATGAAAAAAGAAATATAATGCGACAGAGGAAAGCTCGAAAAGAGTGGTTACAATGTGTTAAATAATTGAAAAAAAGGATGATAAATTGTATAAATTATTTTTATTGCAATGATATTCGTGGATGAGAGGAATTTATGTGAATTTTTCTGATAACTTGCGACAAGTAAGGAAAAAGAGTCTAAATTTTGAGAAGATTTGCACAAAATGAGCATCTTGAATTGATTCATAGTGATTTTTTCGGTTCTCTTTTGCTCACATCAAATTTATATATTGAAAAATTCTTATTGCAAACTTATACTTAATCCTCTTGTGGAGAATATGACACTGACTTAATGCACGAACTTGTGAAGAATGATACGTTTTTTTCCAATTGGAGAAAATACATGAGGAAAAAAAGTGACGATATTATTAATAAACATTTACAATTTAAAGAAAATTCTCACTGTTTTTTTTTCTTTCATTGCAACAATTTCCCTTTTTTCAGCATCAATTAGAGTTTTTCGCAGAAGAAATTACGACGGAATCATACTTGAATCACTCTGATTGATTTACAATTCTCACGGATTAAAGGTCATCTGAGTGACGAGCCTCAACTAACGGTCAGCAATTATCTGCAATAACTATGCAAATAGAGCCAAATCGCAATATATTCTGATTCTGAACAAACTATCTTGTAGTCTCAGAGAAAGTGACTTACAGTCGTTCAGTGCTGTTGAGCAGTTCCTGTGATTTACCTTGACTGCCCAGAGAATGTAATTTGCCATGAAAAATAGTTCTCTTGATATTCTATTTTCTCGCATCCAAAGGCGGACAGTGTGTTTACATCGTTTTACATTGAATTCTGTCGCATTAGATTTTCTCAGGGAAACACAACGAGTTCAGTATTGATCAGCAGCGCGAATTGCGCGAATTGAAGTGAAAATGCAACGATTGTTGGCAATTTTCGTAATATTATCGGTGATATGGCGGTGTATTGAGAGCTTAAATTGTAAATCCCTGGAAGAAAATGTTCCAGTGTCGATTGGAATTATGTTAGGAGCGACAGAAAGTGATTCCAATGCAAAATGTCGAAAGGATATCAGTGAAATTCTCAATGGAATAGCTGAAAGACAACTTTGGGCTCTTCAAAGTAAGTCAGAATAAATAAATAAACTTTTGGTCCTTAAAACTTTCAGTTCGTCTATTAATCCGCCAAAATTGAGTCAAACGTGCAATAAATTCCACCTAAATCACCTGAAAGTTATATCAAATAATTGTAATAGAGCATGAATATGAATTGAGGTAGATTTGGTAAATTATTGCATCCGTTGCAGTCTTGGATGCTTCTGGGAATCGACAGAATCCCTTTGTCTGGGGAGAGAATCTCTGGCTGGGCTCCAAAGAAGCCTGCCTAGCGTCCAACAATCCTCCGTCTGTGATCGTGAGCGAGAAGACTGTGAGACTGAAGGAATTGCTGAAGATCACTTCGCCAATTGCAGTGGACTACCGAATCCTCAGTGGCAATGTCGAAGCGCCCCAGCAGAAGCAAATGTCCATCCTGTTCAGTGATTCCTCGGAATTCCAGCTGGGCATTTGCCTGCCAAAGTCCTGCACACTGCCCGAGACGCTGAAGCTCGCGCAGCAATTCTTTCGAGCGGGAAATGTGAGCAATTTCTTCGATATCTCGGTCACCTTCGATCGAGTCAGGGACTTCAACGATGCCAGTTTGTGGGAAAACACGAGTTTCAGAGCAGCTGCGGTGATTTTTCTCGCTGTGGCACTCGTCACATTCTTGGCGCGCCACAGTGAGGAATTCTCCGGTGGAAATCTGTCTCGCTTCATTTCCTGCTTCCATTTTACCTCCAATTTCACTGCCACGATGTCAACTGACGTCCATCCGGGCTCTGTATCGTCTGTGGCCGGCCTGAAGACGATCTCGTGCCTCTGGATCATTGGAATGCACGTAATGTACTTCAATATCATCACGCTCAGGATTCCACTGGACAGCGCCAAGTTCGACAACATCGCCTACTTCCTGCTCTTCCGATCCGTGCTCGCCGTGGACATTTTCTTCATGATCTCCGGACTTCTTATGGCATACAATTTCCTCCGTCGCGACACTCTGCATCGACAGATCCAGGAAAACAGCTTAGCCGACAATGCGAAGCTCCTCGTGCGCTTCATTCTGCATCGCTACTTGCGTCTGGCGCCAGTCATTCTTATCTCTTCCATCCTCTCGCGGATGGTCTTCCTCTATCTCGACTCCGTGAACGCGCTGCCCATGGGATTCTGTCCAGGAGTCGAGTGCAAATAGTGAGTAAATTATAATTCAATGATTTGACTTGCGGAATAGTGTGGCAGCCTCTTAACAAATCCTCTTTCCCACTCCACTTTCAGTTGGTATCGCAATATGCTGTTCGTACAGAACTTCTACCCCATCCAAGACATGTGCAATCGCTGGAGCTGGCATTTGGCATGTGATATGCAGCTCTATGGCATATTCATGCTAATCCTCTTCATTCAGGCCAAATATCCCCAGCGCGGTCGCTTCCTGCTGGCTCTCGTCACCACTGGCGGTGTGCTGTTGACGTTCATCCTCTGCCTGTACCACAAATTCCAACTATCGTAAGGGGAAATTCAATGTCAATCACTAATTTGTATATCATCATCCTTTTTCCACTTCCTCTGCAGCGTTCTCGGGGTGTTCGAAGCCATCGACACGGTGTACACGCCGCTCTGGTACCGCATCTTCGCCTACGGCGTGGGTATCTTCGCCGCTATGATCATCACAGCGGCCCAGGAGGTGAAGATGCCTGTCTTCAGCTCGCGTTCGGTCAGGATTTACGTGGGCAGCTCGCTGATATTCCTCGTCACGCAAGTTCTGAGCGACGCGGCCTCGCGAAGTGTCTTCTATGTGGCTTTCTTGTGGTCTGTGGGACGTTTCCTGCTAGCCGTCTTCATGGCATCCTACCTGTGTCTGGCGCACTGGGGTTATCTGCTGTCCTTCGCTAAATTCGCCTCCAGCAAGTTCTGCACGCGGATGAACAAGCTCTCCTACACAATGTACATGTTTCACAGTGTCTTCGCAAGATTTGCCTTTGGCGGACGACTTCCTCCCTCAGAACTCTCCTATCCAATGATTGTAAGCATAAGGCGAGGGAGATAATGCACCTCTTCTCATTATTCACTTTATTACAGATCGTCAGTTACTTCGGAATATTGATAATAACTTATGGTTTCTCAATCTTGTGCACGACCTTCATAGAAGTGCCTTTCCAGAGGATTTCGGAGGAATTTTTGATGAAACCATTGTGGCCAAAACCAGCCAATAACGTGAAAAATCAGAAGGAAATGAAATAAATTAATTTATTGTGGGATTGAAAGTGATTTAAATATCAATTGTTGCCTGGTTTGAATTCGCTGCTGGCATGCCAGTTGGCAAGCGAGTGAAATGTCATCGCTTTGTTGACATCATCGCGGCTGAAAAAAAGCAAACAGCGGATCAGTGATGTGAAAAACGGGAAATAGCTGGAAACTCTGTGATCCCAAGAGAGTGATTTCCATCCCAATTGCCACGTGGACAGTTCAGTGATTCCGGGAGTGTGAAGAGTGCTCGTGGCGTGTGAAATTGCAATGATTCCGGGAGTGTTTTGAGTTGTTTTCCGGCCAACTAGATCGCGTGGCTGTTCCGGGCAACTGAATGGACTGAGAGAGTACGAGCAGAATCACGGGATGCTGCGATCCGTGCTGGTGGCTTTGTTTGTGTGGGACCTAACGTCACTGTGCCGCGCCGGCGGAGTGCTGCCGGTGGCGGAGTTGCGGCGCGACAGACGCGCCGTAATCGCCGGGCCGCGGCGCCTCATTGACGAGGTGGCGTGTCCGGAGGTCAGCAAGATGTGCAGCAATTTGCGCTCCGGCGCGGACGACCTGTTCGTGCTGGAGTGCATCCAATCGTTCACACCGGAGCAGCTGGAGTCGCTGTCGGAGACGTGCAAGCACACCATTTGGGAGCACACGTCCGACATCATGCGCGACGAGAACGTGCGCCGGCTCACGGTGAAGACGTGCGGCCAGGAGGAGGTAGACAAGCTGGACTGCAAGGTGACTGAGGAGATTGGCCACTTCCTGGCCTGCGTCCTGGATCGACGCGAGGACGTGGCCAGCAAGGAGTGCCGCAGCTTTATCCAACGTCTCGAGTGGGTGGCATTCTCTGACTTCCGCCTCATCGGGCCGTTCATGCACGACTGCGAGAAGGATATCGTGCAGCTGGGCTGCGGCCGCGTGCAGCTAGACCGAACGAAGCTGTCCCAGGGCGAGACGCTCGCCTGCCTGCAGTCGCAGCTGGACAAGCTGAACAACAAGTGCCGCAAAGGCGTGTTCCACCTGTCTGAGATGCAATCGGACAACATGAAGTTCGATCGGCAGCTCTTCCTCGCCTGCGTCACGGACTCCGAGCGCTTCTGTCCGCAGGGCAGGCCGGGCTCTGGCGCGGTGTACAAGTGTCTGATTCGGCACGTGAACCACGCCAGCATGTCGCAGCGCTGCCAAGAACAGCTCACGCGGCGAGAGAAACTCATCGCGCACGACTACAAGGTGAGCCGCGGTCTGGCCAGGGCGTGCCGCGACGACATTCGCGTGTATCACTGCCGGCGCGGCGTGAGTGACGACAAGGAGGTACGCCTGGCGCAGATCTTGCTCTGTCTGGAGGCGGCGCAGAAGAACAGCTCCAAGATCACGCCCGAGTGTCTCGCCGAGATGACGGACCACCGCAAACTGCTCATGGAGGACTACAAGCTGTCGCCGGAGATCCTGGCCGGCTGCCAGGAGGACATCGCCAAGTTCTGCGGCAACATCGACTCGGGCAGCAAGACCATCCACTGCCTCATGGACCACGCCAGGCCCAAGCGCAAGAAGGAGCGGCGCGTGTCGCCCACGTGCGAGCGCGCCGTGGAGCAGCTGGTGAAGGTGGCCGACGTGGGCGAGGACTGGCGCGTGGACCCAGTGCTGCGGGACGCTTGCAAGCCCGTGGTAGACGTGGCGTGCCGCGACACGGAGGGCGGCGACGCCAGGGTGATGTCCTGCCTGATGGAGAAGCTCTCCACCAGCTTCATGACGCAGGACTGCGAGGCGGCGCTGCTGCAGATCCAGTACTTCGTGGCCAGGGACTTCAAGCTCGATCCGCAACTCTACCGGCACTGCAAGGAGGACGCCGTGCGACTGTGCCACGCCAAGAAGGCCTGGGCGGATGTGACGTCTGAGCAGATGGACCCCGAGAGGGGCCCACTCGTGCTGCCCTGTCTGCACCGCTACGCCTACCACGCATCGCCGGACATGCACCTCCGCCCCGAGTGCTTCCACGAGGTGAAACGCGTCATGCGTCAGCGCGCCATCGCCGTGGATCTCATTCCGGAGGTGGAGGACGAGTGCCTGGACGACCTGACCAGGTTGTGCCACGACAAGACGGGCAAAGGTGAGATCGATGAGCTGAAGCAGCAATTCCAGTGGGCGCCATCGTGAAGACGTGGAGAGAAAGGAGGAAGAGAGCGATTTGCGTTATCGCGAAATTGTCAGTGTTGGCACAAGTGTTACGTTTCAAGCTAAAGCAATCATTTTCATTGATTGCTGGCTTGTTTTAATCAACACTTCCTCACTTTGTACTCTTCACTGTAGAAAAGTGATTCTTGAGCAGTCGATTTGTTTTCGATTGACGCACACAATTGTGCAAAAATGATCAATTTTGTGTGTCGAAAGGAAAAGACATTTTAATAAGTGTCTCCGTTGGTCTTTTGTGGGATTTGCCTTACAATTATTGTCGATGATTCTAGCTATGAAATGACTTAATTAACGTTGATTTTAAAACCAATGGTCTTCGATTGAGGCATTGTATGTTAATCTTGCTGTTTTGTTTCCAGGCGAGGAGATGCAATGTCTGCAGGATAATTTGGAGAAGCTGGACAGCAAGTGTTTGCTGGCGGTGGAGAAGTTCACGGAGGAGGAGGCAGGTCACGTGGAGCTGAATTCGGTGATCATGATGGCGTGTCGCGGCGCCATGGAGCACTACTGTGACGCGGTGCTGAAGAGTGGCACGGACGAGGGTGAGATGATGGAGTGTCTGATCTCGCACAAGAACGATCCGGGCATGCGAGAGGATCTGAAGTGTCGTGCCGCTGTGGAACACTTCCAGATCATCTCGCTGAAGAACTATCACTTCACGTTCAAGTTCAAGGAGGCGTGCAAGACGTACGTGACGCGCTTCTGTCCGGCCAGCAATACGAAGTACGAAGTCGTGGCGTGTCTGAGCGAGAGGATGAGGAATGACACGCTGAAGGGACAGCGACACACAATTCCGAAGGAGTGCAGACAGCAAGTGCGCAGCCAATTGTATCAGCAACGTGAGAATATTGACTACGATCCGCGCCTGAAGAGCGTCTGCCGGGAGGAAATTGACCATCTGTGCTACGAAGTGCCCAATGCGGGCGGTCAGGTGAATAGAGGCCGAAATGCAAGTTCACGTTCACTGCTTTATATGTCCACACTTCTCCAGTGAACACAGAGATTGCTAAAGGAATCCAATTAGAGAGTGTATTGCTTGATTCCACTGGCTTTTCTAGTTCTCTGGATTGATCATGTGTGTCTTGACGATTGTGCTAACATGCGTGTGTTTGTTGCAGATTCTGGAGTGTCTGCAGAGGAATACGGAGAAGCTGAGTCCGCCGTGCAGACACGCCTTGTTTAGCGTGCGTCGCTCAGAGTTGATGGACAGTGCCACAGATTACACCCTGATCAACGCGTGCAGAGAGATGCTGCAGCAGTTCTGTCCGCGCGTGGAACAATCCAATGCGCTGCAGTGCCTGAAAGTGCACAGAGAGGAGCCAATGTTCGACCAGAAGTGTCACTATGTCGTGGTGAATCGCATGATCGAGCAGAATCTCGACTATCGCTTCAATCCGCAGCTGCAAGACGCGTGCCGCCAGAACATTGCCAACTACTGCACGGACATCGTGGCGTCGGCGAAGAAGAATGAGGAACTGAACGGGAAGGTGGTGAATTGCCTGAAGGCGAAGTTTCGCGAGGGCAAACTCACGCACGAGTGCAAGAACCAGATGACGCTGGTGCTGCGCGAACAGGCGCTGAACTACAAGTTGAATCCACTGCTGCAGAATCTCTGTCGCAAGGAGATTCAGGTGCTGTGCCGGCCGACAGATGAGATTGAGGATCACGGGCGCGTGGAGGATTGCCTGAAGGAGGCCTTCCTCCGGCAGCAGATCATCACGAAGGAGTGCAAGATCGAAGTGGCGACGCTGATCCAGGAGGCCAAGGCGGACATTCATGTGGATCCGCTGCTGCAGCAAGCGTGCACGTCGGATCTACTGCGCTACTGTTCGGACGTCATGAGCGGCGACGGAAGACGTGAGTAAATTGAGGAATCAAATTTCATTGCTTCAATATTTCTTTTCCAAGAAACTCAAAGAACTCAAAATGCCGCTCTAATGGCTTGAATCTTGCAGAATTGCGGTGTCTGCAGACGATCTTGTCGGATCAGTCGAAGGCGCTGGAGGAGAATTGCCGGCAGAAGCTGCTTCAGCGCGTGGAGATGTTCAAGAATGCCGCTCCACTCGTGGCAGCGCCGGAGAATCTATCAGACTTGTACACTCAGGTGTCGTCATCGCCAGCGAAGAAGTTCTTCTTCATAGCTTTCCTCACCTTTGTGGGCTTCATCTTCATCTTCGGGCTGTTCTGCGGCCGCGCCACGAGGCGCACCATTGCCATGAAGAACAAGTGAGAATTTATAAATGGTGGAATATCAAGTTTTTGGATACATTTTGTGATTATTTTCTTTCTCGATTATGGCAAGAATTGTGGGTTAATTTATCTTATAATTGACAAAAAAAAATCTACCCCAAAATATTTGCTATAAAAAGGCCATGATAGGAAACGAGAAACACTTGTTGAAGCTTCCTCAGGAAATAAAAATAGGATCATTGTCGATTTGCCGAATTCCTTTATCAATTTGTTCTGTATAAAACATCATGAAGGATATTTTTCTTTAGTTGTACACTTTCCATCATGGCGAATTTCCTCAAAGTAAATCGAACTTATAGACTTTCTGAATGTACTTTTTTGACTCTCCTTGCGCAAAAATAATCTCTAGACATTTTTCTTTTCGAAATTGTTTGTATTTTATAGGAAGAAAAAGATGAATAAAATATGATTGTTTGACAAAGTAATAAAATGCGTTTATTCATCACTTAGATCACATGAGATTAGATGTGTTGCTTCAGGTACTCGTTAATTAAAATTGAACCTGTCACGTGAACATTGAGCGAAGCCAGATGTCCAATCTGTTGAATCTCCACGACAATGTCCAGACTGGCGATGATGTCAGCCGGAAGGCCTTCCTTTTCGTGGCTGCAAGCAAAAAACAACACATTTAAGGACGAGAAACACAGATTATGGATTTCTAAACTCACCCCAAAATCAAGAGAGATTTCTCCGGGAACTTCACCTCGGCCAGCTTCACACTCCTGGACGTTTGCTCAGCGCCGACAATTGTGTATCCTTGCATCTTCATTTGCGACAGGAACACATTCAGCTGCCACTTCTTCACCTCCTCGAGCGTCAGCCACTTTTCCGCCGACATGCTGAGCGCCAGAAAGTCCTTGTGCTCGACATCGCGCAGCGAATCGATAATCATCTTCTGCACGCCGAAGATCTCACAAGTTCTGGCCAATCCGCCCAGATTAGGATGGTTTTCCACAAGTGATGCACAAACAATCAGTTCAGTCTTCCTGACTTCGGTGGCTTCTTTGGGCGGAAGGATTTTGGTCTGGATGTTGTCGTACGTCTGCTGAACAGCTACACCGCCTGAGGATTGTTTCTCATGCCAAGGGTGGATGACATCCTTGAGATCCTCCTCACCCGAGCAATTTGCCACAATTTCACTCTCTGCCACGCCTGTTATCCTCGGAATGTCTCTGAAAATGTACGTCAGACTGAGGAGATCATCAATGTTGAGTCGATTGAAGCGAAAATCCTGCTCAAGGCGCGCAATGCTCTTCTCTGGATTCCCACTCAAGTGACTGAAGGAGAACTTAATCGTCTCACAGATGATCTTCTCATGTGGCTCAACATCGCGCATGAGTTCACAGATCTTCAGCACGGCGATCTGAGCATAGAGGCGACAAGAGAAGTTCTGACCCATTGTCCACGGATAAATAGCGGTGAAGCACTGCCTGCTCACTGCCGAGAACTTTATCCGCCTGCAGTACAAGTACAGAATGCAGAAGATGCTCTGCGCCGAGTGCATCTTGAGATCCTGCGGCGCCTTCAGCATCGCGATCAGTCTGTCAATGTCTTCAGTTGGAATGGCACAGGCGACAATCAGCTCCAGAATGTAGAGAATGCTCGGCTGGTTGGATTCATTGAGGAGAAAGACAAGAAACTGCGGATGCCAAATCTTTTTCACGCGCACAATCGCTGCGATGGCTTGAATGATGCGCAGCTTGTACAGATGATGATTCGAATTTGGATAGTACATGGCTTTCGACCTGGACAATTCGCCATATTTCGTCACCAGTTTGTCGAGAAGAAGAGCATCTCTTCCCGATTGAATCGCATAATCAATTATTTCCAGCTGCAAATCTCGCAATGGTGAATTTCTCATCAGAAATGATTCCTGGACAGTTTCCCGAGACGCGAGCAATTTCACCAGAAGTGATTCACTGATTTGATCAACTTTTCCAGCGATCGCACGACAAATCTCCAGCGAATTGAGTGTGATGTCATCGAGAAGACGCCACATTGTTTCCTCAAGCGACAAATTCACGGTCGGGAAGGCGAGAATGAAAGCACTGCAGTGCGAAGCGAAGGGAGATTTGCCTGGAAAGAGACAAGCTTAAGTACTTTCTATGGTGAGAAAGCTCAGAAATAATTCTCTTACCTTTATAGGCCATCATTTCCTTGTACGCCACTTCAAGAAGACGCTTCATTTCGTCCTTTTCTTCATCTGACATCTTCATCATGTCCAGAATCTTGAACAGACTCACAGTGGTGCAATATTCCTGGCCACTCTCGAACGCACAGCTGATCTTCGTGAGGATTTCGCGAGAATTCCCTGGTGAGTCATTTATGTGGCTTCTGAACCAATTGAGAATCTCACTCACCACTTCAATGAACAACTTTTCAAAGGTCAGTTGAAAATCCCTGCCAGAAGATAGAGCCGCAGCGTCTCTTGTGAAGTAGTCATCAATGAAGATCTTGCAGAGATCGCCATTCTTTGTGTACAGAGAAGGTTTTGCCTTCAAGATGAGCAAAAGAACGAATCTCTGCTTGTGCGCATGATGCTTAAATCTAAGCAGCAATTCTGTGGCTTTTTCCTCATCGATTTCCACATCCGTTGAGAGTTGCTTCGCCAAGTGCAAGAGATCTCTGTCTGCGAAGCTTTGGGCGTTGTTGAACATCTCAAGAGGATTGCTTTTGAAGGATTCAAGGAGATTTTGAGGCAGAATTGAGGAATCATTCAAGATTTCACTGCAACGCTTAATTATCTCCTCGTCATTTGTCACTTCTGTGATCTTCCGCACAACCATCGCTTGATCATCTTCTGGAGAATCGGTTACTTCATCACTTATCACGCGCTTTACCAACTTGATCAGGAGAAACACGATTTCTCGCTTCATTAGCTGATCAATCTGGAGATTGAAGATGCATTCGATGATCCTCTGAAGAGACTCAATTGCATTAACCTGGGAAATGTCCTTAGTTTCGGTCTCTTCGCCAGTCAAATAGGACAGAATTGAGAACAGAGGAAATGGTTTCCAACTCACAAGAGACATCCTTTCGAGAGCCTCAAGAGAAGTCCTGAAAGCCAGAAGACAAAAGGACTGCACAACTTCTGTATCCTCTTGATAAACAATGTTTTGATTGAGTGCATGAAAAACAGAGTCCAGCAAATATGCGATCTTATAATTTCCCAGCAACTCATGCATTGCCATCAAGTGCTCGAGTGTTGCAATCACGATCTGCTTGTTGTGGTTCTTCATGATCTCCATCAGTAGCAATTTTTGCCAGTTGATATTGAGCTTAGCAATCTTCGGCAGCATTTTCAGCGCCGGAACAATCAAGTGCGTCTGATTTTGCTCCACGGCGTTCAGAATGGCAATAAAGTGCTCTTCACTCTCCGGATACAGATTCTTGATGGCTTCCTTGGTGACATGAAAAGCCTGCTTCCGCGCTGTGAGATCTTGTGAGTCCAAGCCTTCGGAGATCCAGCACCACATGCAACTTTCCCAATTGTACGGAAGGCAATCGTCGACATGCTCGTCATCCTTCGCTTCCGGCATCACTTGTTGCAGCAAGAAAGTGAGGATTTCCAGGTTTCGGAACGGAGGCGTCTGTGAAGCAAATATTTGCAGCCCCATTCATACATTTTCTTCACTCCACTTACCCTCTTATCCAACATGCGCTCTTGGAGACGAGAAATCATGTGATTCTCCTTCGGAAGCACCATGAGAATCCTCTGAAGACTTCGCAAAACGCTGGTTCTGAACTTCTCGTTGTCACTCGCGAAGATCGCGTCGATGATCTTAGCATTTTCGATGTACTCTGCAACGCCGTCGAGATGTTCCTCACTCGCCTTCAGAAGGCATCCGCTCACCAGCATCTCGAAGACGTCCGCCTTCAGCTCCTCTTCCTCCCCAATCAAGTGAAAACAGCTGATTTTCGCCGGAACAACAGACGCAATGACTTTGATGATCGTCAGCAGATGATTACGGCAAATGACGTCGATTTCTTCACATTTCCTCTTAAGGTTGTCGAAGAGCATCTTGTGGAAGTCCCAATCTTCGACAGGGAGTTTTTGAGCAGTCACTGAGCTCCACTCGGCGATCAGGGAGTACGCGTGAACGGACGCCGGCTGAAGGCTCAGCACTTTCCGGAGAAAAACCTCTCGATTCTGCGCAAATTCAATAATCTTTCCCACCACTTCAGGATTCACGAGGCGCGGAATCTCCATGACGCCGAAAAAACGTACAATTAACAGCAAAAAACAAATTATCACGAATTATTAGCACTTTTTTCAAGACTTTTTTCCCTCGCGGTTAGAACACATGAAACACGCACATCGCAATGCCTGAACTTGAACTGACAGAGCGCGTGTCATTTTGCGTTAGGTTGCGTGAAACATTCGAAAGTTTCACGAATCATTGATGACGATTCTGTTATAAAATACAATTTTGATTATTCATAGGATTTCATATGTTTCATGAAATTTCAGGCCTTAATTCATTATGTTTTGAGCAGCTGTTCTGTGAGCAAAACGAAGCCGCGATTGCATGGATTTCGACATAAATTGCAACAGTGTAAGAGTGTCTCACTGACCCAGGATTACCGGCAAAATCACCCCGCCGAGGATGTACATCGAGGAGGAGGAAGAGGACAACGACGAGGAGCTGGACGAGTGGGAGACGCTGCGCACCGTGGAGGATTTCGACTACGGTGAGTTGACAATGGAAGCTTCTCGAATGATCTTTCGAACGTCCGACTCTCTTACAGTGCCCACAAGCTCCGGGGGCGCCTCGACCAGGGAGGCGGGCGGGATGCAGCTGTTGCCATCGAAGCCCTCGACGCCGGTGAGTCTGCTGGTGGAGAGCTTGCTGCAGCAGCTCTGTCACCTACTGGAGAGTGATTCTGTGCGCTCGACGCGGCTGTACAAGTCCATCTGCGAGCAGCTTCAGCAGATGAACCTCATCGACGATACGTGGGAGATGGGAGAGTTCGAGGCCATGCGCAGCCAGTACCAGCGCGCGCTGTTCCAGCTCGTGGCCGTGGCGCGCGGTCCGGATCTGCCGCACTCGCTGCAGTCCGCGTGGCCCGTGGCGTCTGCCAGCCTGGACTGGTCGCGCTACCGCAGGGACTTCGAGGAGCTGTCCTTCATCGCCGGCGGCGGCTTCGGCAAGGTATTCCGCGCGCGCAACCGCCTGGATGGCATTGAGTACGCGGTGAAGAAGGTGCTAATCAAGTCCACGAGCGTGGACAAGGTGCTGTCGCATCTGAAGGAGGTGCGCACCTTCGCCGGGCTCAATCACATCAACATCGTGCCCTACAAAGCGGCCTGGATGGAGCCGCTGATGTCTGGCGAGGACGCCATGGCGAATCCCGAGGACACCGACAGCATGTCCGTGGCGCCAGACGCGTCCTTCGGCGACACAGCCGACGACTCTGTGATATTCGCCGCCAGCAGCAATGCGGCTCTGGAATGGACGAGCTCGCTGCGCATCAGCACGAACCGCACGATCAGCCTGCAGGAGCACCAGCCGCACGTGAACCTGCGCTGGGCAATGCTCTACATCCAGATGTCTCTCTGCCAGCTCACGCTGCGCGAGTGGCTGGACAAGCGCAACGCCAGCGACAACTTCCCCGCCTTCTTCACCCAATTCCTCGCCGAGAGCGTTCAGTCTCACATGCCGTGCCTGCCGGCGGCCCAGAATCCCGAGCGGCGCCTCACGCAAGTGGCGCTGGACATATTCAGTCAGCTGGCCAACGGCCTGCGGTACATCCACGAGTGCAGAATTGTGCATCACGATATCAAGCCTAGTAACGTGTTCGTGGGCGTGAGCAATTGCGAGCGCCTCGTCGTGCAGCTGGGCGACTTCGGGCTGGCATGTCCGCTTGAGGACTCGCACAGGGACGGCGCCATGGGCACGCCGCTCTACGCAGCGCCCGAGCAACTCGACGGCCGCTGCGACCCCAAGAGTGACATCTACAGCCTCGGCGTCATCCTGCTGGAGCTCCTCATTCCCTTCCGCACCGACATGGAGCGCGCGCGCGTCATGGATGACGCCAAGAACGGCCAGCTGCCGTCCAGTCTGTCGCCGCGCTTCGCCACCCTCCTGTCGCGCCTCCTGGGCAAATCGCCCGGCCGGCCTTCGGCCGCGGATCTCTGCGTGGTGGCTGCAGAGTTGCTGGCGGCGCGCGAGGGCGGCACCGCGATTGCGGAACTCGAGCGCCGGTTGAGTGAGAAGGACGAAGAGATCCTCAGTCTCAGGAGTCAGGTGAAGTCTACGGAGCGCTTCCAGCAGATGCAGCTGATGAGCAAGGATCTGGAGATCCGCGAGCTGCAGCTGCGTTATGAGGAGGAGAAGAGGACGCGAGAGGAAGAGATCCGCGTGCTCAAGGAGCGGCTCAACTCCACGACGCTGAAAGACGAGGAGAGCTGAAGTTTAGCGTAGTCATTTTAAGGACATCCGTGTGACAAAGAGCAATGATCTTAAGTATTTTGAATATCAAATATCATCTCGTTAAAAGACAAATCACTGTTTTTCAAACTAAAATACTTCTCTGCTATGATTCGAGCTTCCACCTGATTCGTTTTCCGATTTCCCGCTCACAGAAAAGCCTTTTCTCCCTTCTATCTAGCTTTTATTCTAGCTTTTATCTGCAAATTGAACTCTTTGAGAGTCTTTAGTGATGTTGCACTTCTAATTCCTCACTTTGATCCTGATCTTGTGATCAACCTCCTGAATCTCTGGCCCGCCATCCGCAAAGGTGTCCGACAAGGACGTGAGATCCTCCAGAACTTGAGTGAGATTGAGATTCAGAGTCGATTCTGCTTGATTCGCTGTTACATTTTTCCTGAACATTGCCTTCCTCAGGCTCAAATTCCTGCGCGCGGGCTGCTTTGAGGATACGTTTGTCCTGCACAGCGACAACTTCGAGAACTGCGCCACCATCGAGTCCGTCTTGGGCGCCTTCGTCTTGTACAGAATCACCGAAACGTGCGGATTGATGCCGAGGCTCTGAAAGAAGTCCTCTTTGGCGCTCTCTTCCTTCACTTTGGGCTCCTCGAACTCAAACACGCCGCCTCCCAGCTCTCTCTGGAATCTCTTCAGCACGGCGAGGAGAATCCGGAATCTCTTCACGATCCTGGCGATCTCAATATTCTCCGCTTGTCGCAATTCCAGCGCCGCGTCGCATTCGGCCAGCATCTTGTGGAAGTCCGCGAGATTCTTCGTCTGGATGTGGTTTTCCTCCACTTGGAGCGCGTCCTTGTTCACTTCCAGGTGCGCTTGGAGAACCTTCACCTGCTTCAGGGCCGCTTCCAGACTCTGGGGATCATTCGCCTGGCCAGAGTCCTCAAGAAGAGTGCTCAAAGTGTCCACAATTGACACGCAAAAGGCGTCTGTGTCGATAATCTTCTGTACTTCGCGCTGGAAGATCTTCATCTCGTCACGCCAGTGAACTTCCAGGAGTCGCGAGTGATGACTGCATTCGCTGAAGATGGAGGGAATCAGGGCAGAGTCAAGGCACTCTGAGGAGGCCAGGCAACTCCTCAGGATGGACTTTGCCACTTGATCACTGGAGAAGGCGATGCCTAGGATGCCAATCTGTAGAATTCTGTCCAGAAGCAAGTCAAACTTCTCCGTTTCCTTCTCCAGAAGCTCCTCATCTTCCTCCTGCTTCGCCATTCGGACGGCTTTTCTGAACAGATCGACGGGATTGCCCGCCAATTGCTGGAAAACCTGGCAGACCAGGCGAAGAAGACTGCTGTTCACTGCTTGTTCCAGATGAGTCAGCGCCACTTCCAACAGTTCCGCCTTGAAACGACGATTCAGGTCAGTTTCTCCAGCACAGTCGACGGCGCATTCCTCCTCCAGGGCGATGCACTCCTTCAGCACGCGCTGACAGTGCGCCGTGAGGGCTTTCTTGTCCTTCTCCAGCACCACATTCACGAACGCCAGCGTTTGGCTGATCAGGGAATCGACGACAGCACGGATCTCCTTGCTCCGCACGTGAGCTTCGGCATTCCTCTCGGCCACATTCTGCTCATCCTCTTCATAGGTTGTCAGTGGCTCCAGAAGATCCAGCGCCGTGTCCAGGAATATCACGAAATTAGCATCCTCAATCGCGTCCGGCAGCGCGACATTGTCGGTGATTGAAGCCACGGAACTGCGAATCCTCGCCAGACACCATAAGATTCTGTCCAGGAAGTGCTGCCGCGAGGGCTGCACAAATCACAGATCAGACCAGCCACGAAAGCCTCCAATAATCCACTGATACTCACCGTCAACACAATCCGTTCGCGCTTCTCCGTGGACAAAACACGCTCCAGATTCCGGATGCACACAGTAATCTGGCGAATGCACAGAAAAATCTCCTCCAGGACACTGCTGTTCTTCTCTCCAGCGCAGTCAAACACCATAAACTTGTGCAGATCTCGGAAGAACTTGAGAAACTCCCCAGAAACTCCCTGAAAAGCGACGTTTGATTACAAACAGAAAACAACAGGTGGAAAACACTCACATTTAGCCATTTGATGTCGCTCTCGGACGCACTCTCGAAGCCCTTGTACAGCATCTTCTGCAGATGTGCTATGGAATTGTGAAAATCCATCGTGGAATGGGGAAAATTGGGGGAAATTGCAAATATTGTGCTACCAAGAAACGATTGCGGCGTCGGTAAGTTCAAACTGCGCGTTTGACAATTGGAACTTTGCGTAATGTTTTAGGCTGCGTATATTCCGACCCAATATTTTATAATTCAATCACTTTTCTCATTCGTGAAATTTTCAATACAGCGAAATTTTAGTTTTATGGCTTATGAAGCTCTTGAAGAATCTCTTCAGTAACGAATTTTGCTCTAATTTTTTATGCAGTCTATATTTGGATAAAAAAGGTAAAATGAAAATATAAATAAGACTAAAAAAAATTTTGGTTTCTTCTCTTCTTAATAAAATTTACAAAATGTTGTATCATTCATCCAATACACAATACTTTTATTTTAGATCTTCTTTCAAAAAATCAGCAGCAAATTTCAAAATTGGCAATAAAGCAAACAATATGAAAATAAAATTAAACAGAAGATTGAGAAGTTAAAATCAGTATAAAAAAAAGATTAAGAATATAAAATAAATAAACATTTAAGTCTAGTGAGCCTAGTCGAATCATTTTGATGTAAATTTCAGTTCATTTAGAGACGCTCGACGATGTTAAAAATAAAAAATATATAAATAATTCGGTGATATTCTCGTAATTTGTACAGACAACACTTCCTTGTCACTCAGCTTGAATCCTCCAGCCTTCATACAGCTTTAATCCTGGCCGCGATCTTGCGCCTATCGAATGAGACGATCAAATTACGCTCACCCTCGAGCCTTCGCGGCACCCTCTCGACATTAACCCTCATTTGGAGGCTCTTTATTGCGCTCCGATCGCCGTGAGTGGTGGATTCTTGATTTGCCGAGGGTGCACTGAGTTGCCGAGGATGCGACCAGAAAAAAGAGCTGTGCAATAACAATAAAAATCAAGAGGGTCGTTTGTCGTTTCCCCCGCGCCCTTCTTCACATGCTGCCTTTTTTCGGGCGGATCAACAATTTCAATTGCCAAAGTCACTCTCGAGACTTGTGATTCTCCCCCTTCTGTTTCCGAGACACTGGCCACGCGTGCCGGCTGTCACTCCGGCCGAGCGCGGTGCATCGTCATGCCGGCGAGGGAAATCATGGGCACAGAGCGCGGCCAGGAGGACGCGGAAGACCAGTGAGCACGATCGCAGATCTCGATTGAAATCTCTGTGCTCATCTCTCAAATTGCCCACTTCCATCACCGTCTCCGGGCGCACCTTGATGCCCTCATCGCGAGGATCGTAAATTGGAGATGTTATTTTATTGCCAGGCCAAAGGAGAAGTCAAGGGGGAGATAGTTATTGCAGTTTGGGTAAATTCGTCACATACCCTAGAGAAATATGTAAAGTATAATTATTTGCCGTCAATACTCTAAAGAAATTCAAAGCATTGTGTTGATTTGTGGAAGAATTGAAGTAAATATCGAATCACTTTGCTTCTACTGACCACAATATCTTCCCCTTGGGAAAAATCAATGCGGTCTGCAATTCCCTTATTGCTTCGTCTCTCATGATGTCATCTTCATCATCGTCCTCTTTCGTCCGCTTCGCCTTTTCCGCATCTTGCGTGCCTCCGGAGGGAAGCTGCATGCGAAAGGCGCTCCGTTACACCTGTCGACCAGAGAGCGACAGAGACAAAGGAGCGAGACAGAGATTTCGCTCTCGTGCCGCTGCCACGTGCCATTCCAGGACGGATTCTGCACATAGAAACCGCAGATGCAGCGCTGCCGATGGTGAAAGTTTGTCGGTTTCTCGACCAGGCATTGAAGTCTCTTCGTAGCTTTTCACAAAGAATACTTGCGCGGAGTTTTTCTTGAAACTGTGGCTGTTCTTCACAGAACCACTGGTGGACCGATTTCCTCACCATCTGACTAAGCATCTGCTTGCTTTCTTTCTCTTCGACACATATTCATGCTATGTATATGATGCAAAGCGATGCATAAGGAAGAGAAGCAGAGAGAGAGAGAATAAATCTGACGAAATGATAGCTTTAATGGATCTGTAGAGTTTCCCTGTTTCGATCCGCTTTTTTCCTTGTTTTTTTTGATGAACAGACGGTTGGAAAGATAGTCATTACAGACATTCAAAGAGGACACAGGATATATGAAACGATACTGCTTATTTTAACACTAGAGCAGTCTAGAGAGAAGATCTCTCGTAATGTATAGCAAATCTGAAAAGATTTTATGAAATCTCTTCAGTTAACGAAACTTTCTCATGGCGTTAAAATATTCTTTTACAATTTTCTTTAAAATACCATATAATTATTGCGCACTTTCTGTCCTTCAATCTAGAGCTTGATCTACAGACACACAAAGTTTGCTGAAATTGCATGTTGACTTTGAAAAGCACGATAAACTATCTTCTATTCGTCACAAAGGTTAATTAGATCTGAATAAAGCGAATCAATTCCCACGGCAAGAGAATCCCCTGAAGTCTCGTGCCACTCTTGCAGTCACACGGAGTGAAATTCACGAGGGGCGCATTTGGAAGTATAATTTCCGTAACGGATTTGCCGTCTGGCTCTTCAGCTACAGCGAAAACTCATGCCATCGAGTTTCACAACGAGGTGCGAGAAATCGTTTGGACGCTGAAAATTCCAGCACACGCTCAGCTCCACCCACTTTGAGCGCCCATCCGGAAGTTTTCACTTTCAGCCCAGCCGCCAATTGGTCGGTCGCGCCTTGTCTATGTGTTTGAAATCTATTCTCAGGCGCGCATGAGTCGCTCGCACACGAGCGCGACTGGGAAAAGCTCAATTACACGCGGCACGACTTTGCCATCAAAAGCTGCGCTGGTGGGAGAAGTGTGAGAAAGTTAGTTGACTGGGAGGGTATATTATTGGATTTGAAAATTCTATACAAGCAGAGTTTAATTGTCGGGGAGAATCTTCCCCTCGAGTTGCATTAAAAATTCACAAGTCACACGCGACCATTTAGTTACGCAAGCACGCGACATGTCCGTTACATCGCCCTTCTGCCGCTGATCGCACTTACGGTGGTTTGGAACTAATGCACGATCACTTCGGGCTGACATAGGAAATCACATGGAATCGATCACAGAAAATGCTGCAAATACAGTAAAGATTAAAGCACACGAAGAACAATTGATGGAAAACTATGTATTTCTGGTAGTGAGTCTTGTTTCCTAATGAGTAAATGAATGAATTTTTATAATTAAGTTTCATTACAATTCAGAACAGTATTAAAATCTAGTATTTTTTAGACCTTTTTAAATTCTCAATCTGAAATAGTGTGAAGAGAACTTTGATAATCATATTTTAAACACTTGAACAATTCTCAGATGAACAGAATTAAAGTGATTAAATAAAAGAATTTTGATCATAATTGTGGAAATATTTCAATGTCAATTTGTGGAAATTGAAATAAAACTAGGTCAATAAAACTCTATTTTATAGAAAATCATTACCTTAAATTACATATTAAAACATTAATATATGTATTTCCCTATGTATATTTCTATTCAAACTCCTAAATTCTTCCCAAATGACAATAAAACAGATTTCAAAGAGTCGCTTAGGTGGTAATTTGGTTGAAAAAAATTCTCCTCGATACTCTCCAGCTTCTCCTCACAGGAAATTGACTACAGATAGAGGAACAGAGTAGAGCTTTGAATTTCCATTCGCGAAACATCGCGATTGAGATTGGCCACTGCAATGGGGACGCCTGGTGCTTGGCTAATGATGGGAATCAATGTGTCAGACACACTCGCAGCATTTCCGTTATGCCGTTACTTGCGCGCTTCCTCCCTGGAATGAGGGAATCCATGCACTCTTCCTGGCACACCATTAAACCATCATCAGGCGTCGTCATGTGGCGAGAGGTCGGCGTGAATGGATGCGGATCATTGTCTTGAGGCTGCCGAAAAAAGGTGTTCGGCGCGCGCTCTTGCGTCTCGCTCACTTTGGCCAATGTGCAGTCAATGCGATGCTGATAAAAGGTGATCATCGGCATCCACACGCACACATGCCGAGCGATTGGTGAGTCAGTTTCGAGTGGAGAACCACGGAGAGAACACCTTTCCTACCTGCCGCCGCGTTCTCAATGGAGCAGTTGGGTGCGAAGCACCGAGTCGAGCGGTTCGCTTTCTGCGCCTCGGAAGTCCTTTCTCTGCCTTGAGCAAGTTGTGTCTCAATTCCCACAAGGATTTCACCGCTGACACTCGTGTGAAGTTGAAAAGAAAGCGCTTTGCCGTATAAGTAATTGACTAGGAAATTAAGTTCTCCAAAGTCCATCAGAGAGAGAGAGAGAGAAAAGGTGCGTGTGATTTTGTGGCTGCAAAACAAACCAGTGAAAGAATAAATTGTAGAAATGATAGTAACACACAAAGGGGTGGATTATTTCCCAGTCAATACTCACCGAGTCATTATCCACTTTTCACTTGAATATTTCATTCAGTATCACTCGTATCCAAATGGTGTGTTCACTTCGGCAATCAGAACGTTTTTAAAATCTGTCATAGTGACGATTCAGTGGTATAATTTCAACATTTCCCCATTCCCAAGTCATTTGGTAAATAATATACACGAAAGCACGACAAAGGGTGGCGAAGTTTCCCTCGCGCGCGGGAAAGTGACCAGCAGTTGGACGCTGTTCAATCAGTCGCTTAACAGTCTCTTGTCTCTGATTGTGCCTCTAGAGAGATGGCTCACTTATCACCGCCGCCATCGCCGCCGATTCCGCAGCCTTACGCCTTTCCCGGATTGCAGCATCTGGAGTCGCCGGCCAGCGTGATCCAGAGAGCATCTTCCGTCTTCGGAGCTTCGCTGGAGCAGAAATGGAATCCGCGAGGTAAAGCATAAGCATAAGTGCGCTGAATGTTGTGAGAAAAGGTTGATTTGCAGCGATTTTAAGCGTGTGATAAGATTTTGCAAGGAATTTAATTGTTTTTCGTGCAAATTCAGTAACATTCTAAATAATTTCTGGACTATTTAGCATCAATAATCTATGATTTCTTGCATTAAAAACAATACAGATTCGCATAAATCATTAAAATGAGCATCAATGTGATCAAAATGAAGTTCTTCTGCTCGTGATACAAAACGTTCGCGTTATCGATTTTATGAGTCAATTTGAGATTTTTTGCGAGTCAAATCATAAATGCGCAAAAAGAAACAGCGAAAGCTGCTGGAGATCATAAATGTCATAAAGCCTTAACATTCTGTAGATCTTTCTCTGCTGTACAATCCGCTGCTGTACTCCGGTGCCTTTTTCTGGCCGCCACTGCTCTTGCCATGTCCACCTGCCGCCACGACCAAATGTGATTTCGCCCTGACGCCGGAGAAAGAGGAGACAATCGGTGAGAAAAGACGTCGCAATACGACCACTTCCCACCTAACAGATTCGTCTTCTGCAGTCGACGAGGACATGCCGCTCAATCTGTCCACGAAGCCGCAGTCCGCCGCCACGACGCCGACCGGCCGCTTCGCGCCGACGATCTGGTCGCCGGCCAGCATGTGCGAGAAGCCCTCGGCAGACGCCACGAGCCGCAGCAGCCGCAGCAACAGCAGCAGCAGCAGCGCGAGCAGCGACGAGCATCCGCACACCACCACTGCGCCAGCAGCCGCGGCCGCGGACGCCGGCGCCGGTCAGTACAAGTTCAAGAGTGAAATTATCAATCGCATCAAGCGACACAGTCGCAGTGTGGACGATGACAGAAGTGTGAGCGATCGTGATGAGAATGACATGAATTTCGGCATGAAAGTGCGCCATGTGTTTGCAAACCAAAGTGCAGTGAGTGACAAGGACTTCCTCTTCTTTCCCCACTTCGCGCACCACAAGGACATTGAGGTGCTGCGCCAGAATCGCACCGACATCTTCGCCATCAACGGCGTGAAGCAGGAGCACAGCGGCGCCAGCAGTTTGCACACCACGCCCGATTCCACGCACGGAACCGCGATCCTCGGCGGCGACGACAAGAAGCGCGACAGGAACTTTCAGGTGAGCGCAAAAGTTCAAAAGAATGCGTCAAATTTTTCCCAAAATTGATAAATGCGACGTTTTAGGCTCATTTTCATATTTATTGGAATAAGGGCGTAAAAGCTTCAGTTAGAGTTTGATTTCACTGTGAACACGTAAAAATAACTCATTCTAATTACAAAAGAAGTTCTTCTTTTGGGAATAAGCTCGACAAATCTGACCAAATGCTTGTACGAAGACGTGTAGTTATCATCAAGTAATTAATGAATAACACTGTGCAACACTTTTCTGCCCTTTTTTTGAAGTGTGGATTTTCTGATTCCTTGAGTCATCAGCTTTTCAACGGTACCTTCCTTTTTTCTCTAGACCCTCAAGTTTTCCTTTTAGAGCCTATTTTCCATTTTCCCCTATTTTCACCCACTTTGCCGCACTTATGTGCTCATATCTCGCCCAATTTTCCACGGATTTTCCTCAAATTAGTCTCAAATGATAGCTATTGAAATTACCTACTACTTTGTAAAACATTGTGAGTGTTTTAGATCACTCCTTGTTGGTCAAAAATGATCTTTTGTGAACCACTAGGTAAAAAATTCACCGGGTTTTTTACCACTTTTTTCTAAATATCTCCGAAACGAAGAAACTTTTATGTTGGATTATTTTTCCTATGTGTAGAGCACTTCAGGGGATGCATTTCCTCCATACATGCCGAAGTGATATCTCTTCTCTATCTGCCGGAAAAACGAGGTTTTTCCTCGACAAGTTTTGCTTTTTTATGCTACGCGCACCCGCTAAAAAATTGAAAGAAGGTACATTTTGCTGTCTACGCACTCATTTAGATGATGATAATGCTTAGATGTTAAAACAAAAGAGAAAAAAGGCCAATATCTCGACTTTTTAGCTATTTTAGGTATTTTTTTGGTCTTAATGACAACAACTCCTTAAAAAACACGAAAAATTCACGTAAAATAGCTAAAAAGTCGAGATATTGGCCTTTTTTCTCTTTTGTTTTAACATCTAAGCATTATCATCATCTAAATGAGTGCGTAGACAGCAAAATGTACCTTCTTTCAATTTTTTAGCGGGTGCGCGTAGCATAAAAAAGCAAAACTTGTCGAGGAAAAACCTCGTTTTTCCGGCAGATAGAGAAGAGATATCACTTCGGCATGTATGGAGGAAATGCATCCCCTGAAGTGCTCTACACATAGGAAAAATAATCCAACATAAAAGTTTCTTCGTTTCGGAGATATTTAGAAAAAAGTGGTAAAAAACCCGGTGAATTTTTTACCTAGTGGTTCACAAAAGATCATTTTTGACCAACAAGGAGTGATCTAAAACACTCATAATGTTTTACAAAGTAGTAGGTAATTTCAATAGCTATCATTTGAGACTAATTTGAGGAAAATCCGTGGAAAATTGGGCGAGATATGAGCACATAAGTGCGGCAAAGTGGGTGAAAATAGGGGAAAATGGAAAATAGGCTCTAAAAGGAAAACTTGAGGGTCTAGAGAAAAAAGGAAGGTACCGTTGAAAAGCTGATGACTCAAGGAATCAGAAAATCCACACTTCAAAAAAAGGGCAGAAAAAAGTGTCATTTTTGTTGCCTAGTGTAATTAAAGAGGGTAAAACTCCCCTTTTCATGAAAAGCACAGCATAATTTGGGCAAATGATTTTCAGGGATTTTATTTTCCCTTCAATAAATTGTCACACAGTCAGCGAGACTTATTGATTTATTAAAAGTGATGTGTTATGATGAAGAATAAGTCAACTTTTATTGATTTATCATCAGAATGTGTGATACTCTGTGAGTCTTTTTAAAACGCTATTAAATTGATTTGATATTTACTCAAGTGCTCTCCTACTTTTGTACCTTTTCCATCCACATTTTTCAATATTATTGTCATGAGTCTTGCCATGATTAAATAGTGTGATGCCCTCGTTCTTCTGACGCCTCGAGACATTATGATGTGTGCCTGATCTGGAGGAAGACGCAGTTGAACATCCTCAAACAGTGGAGGACACATTTCCACTCTGTTGCTCACCTCAATTTCTAATCAGTTGCTTGTCCTCAGAGAGACGAGGTTTTGGTGTATTTGATCAAGCCAAGGCACCAGAAGTCTTTTGTCTATCAATAAATCGTCACTCTACACCGCGTATAATATGTAATTGTGTCTCAAGACTCCCCAAATAAATACACACTGTGAGGAATGGAGTTTTCTCCAACCAGCGCGTCTCCTCGTGAGTGTCAATATTGGTTCAAGTGTATGCAAATTTTTCCACTTGACGATCTCCGGAGTTTCAAGAGAAAATGCTTAAGGTTTTCCGTGCAGGAAAGCACAAGGAGAGAATTCAATTTGATAGCGGTGAAGTCAAGACAAATAAAACCAGAACAGATACATTTTTTCTCCCCACAAAAACTTTCGGCAAGACTTTTGGTTTCTCGAGGTGAGAACTAATGAATTTATACACATGACCATCACGACAACCGCAATTGGTGTGGCGCAAAATCCACAAATCCATGAATTTTTTCACCCTTCAGCATCTTCAAGAGATCTCAAGCCACTGCCTACAATTTTGTAATTGTTCAATTGTCCAAGAAAGTCTCCATATAATTGCTTGTAAATGCCACAAACAGTAAACGTATTCAGCATCCGGGACTCGGAGTGCCTTTATTATGATTTAAATGAGCTGAGAAATGGGAATTTTGTTGGCCGACACACAAGAAGACCGACAATGTCAGACGGTATTGCGAGAAAGACGTAATTTCAACAATATCATACATTATTTACCAGTCAGTGACTAATGATCTTCCGGGAAGTTCTCTCATCAATACTGAAAATCAGTCCTTCTTTCCTTGGGAATCACAAATCCTTCGTGCTGTGGCTTTTTCCATGGGAGGTTCAGAAGAATTTTATCACCGCACATAAACGTTAATTGAGTCACGAAGAGAGTGTCTTCAATGGCAATCCGATGACGAAGTGATTCGTACGAATATTCTTCAATATAATTCACCCCTAAGCGTGCATTGACCAGTGAAAAATCCACTCTATTGAAGGTGATTGTTTTGAGGGTGAAGCGGATGAGACACACTCAATTTTAAGTAGACCGCCAACATTCTAATCTTAATGGTTAATCAAATATTTCGTGCACAATTAATAATTCCCTCCAATTCAGTTAAATAAACATGAAAGGGTGTATAATGTCTGAAGGCAATTTGTCGAAAAAAAACAACAGACACGACGAGCAATTACAGTCCACTTTTTCATATTTCTTTTATTGAAACATCTTCTTCTCATTCTGGACATTTATTGTCGCGTTTCTCGGCTCTTCCTTGGGGAGGACAATGTATATGAGAGAGAAGAGCTTAAGGGGTGAGAAGGTTTTTCCATCGGGGAAATCCATCATCTTAGGTGAAGGGAAATTATCTTTCACTTGCACAACACTCAGCTAATTGTTGTGTATCACGAATGGGGTTAATTCAAATTGATCTTGTGTCAATTTGCTCGGGAATCTAAAATATATTTCATTTGTGTGTGTCTCTCGCCTTCCAGTGTAAACAATGTGGAAAGACGTTCAAGAGATCCAGCACTCTGTCGACACATCTGTTGATCCACAGTGATACCAGGCCTTATCCCTGCCAATACTGCGGTAAGAGATTCCACCAGAAGTCGGACATGAAGAAGCACACGTACATTCACACAGGTGAGTCGGCAATCATAGATTCTACCCCACATGCTTCGCCCCATTAAACTAATTAATTGCCTCAACTGGGCATGATTTAAAATCTAAAGTCATTACTGGAATTACACGGGCATTTCGTTAGATTGAATGTGACGCATTAGTTGAATCGATCAGCATGAAACATTTAATGTTGATTCTTTGCCGATTTTGTCACTTTCGTGGATGATTGTAATTGCCAACACAAGCGAGAATAAAACCATTAGCCATCAATTATATAAATTAAATCAAGATATTGTTCTGGTTTTCCATATCACCGTAATTCGGTGAACTCAATAATATTCAATTCATTTAGCAAACACCACAAGATATGGATTTACTGTCTCGATATTGGAGTGTATTATGTCACAACCCCTTTTCCCCATTAATAATTGAGCGAATGAAAACGTTAAGAGGCCAACAATTGATATTTCTGTACAAATAGATTTTAATGTTAGAATTTGATTCAATTACGCCACTCGTGTTTGATTAATTGACTCCCCGAATTAAGAGGGTTGAGTGGGTAGATTGAATCCTCAGATAAAATATACGCCAGTCAGTTCAAGGCCTATGCTTAAGGGTACAAAATGAAGATTTTGTGTCGGATTTGATTTAACAAGAACGAAGGAAAAGTCTCGACTTTGATGGATTCTGCAGAAACTTCCATATAAAGAGAGTTATAAGAGAATCCTTAATGAATCCTGAGGAAGAAAAGCGTTTTATTCACTTCTTGCAGTATTTTAAACGACATTTTTCCCCTTTTTTTCTCTTTGTTCTCACTGGACAAATAGGCGAGAAGCCTCACAAGTGTGTCGTCTGCTCCAAAGCATTCTCCCAAAGCAGCAACTTAATAACCCACATGCGGAAGCACTCGGGCTACAAACCCTTCTCGTGCGGACTCTGCGACAAGTCCTTCCAGCGGAAGGTGGACCTGCGGCGACACCGCGAGAGCCAGCACGCCGACGAGACTCAGGCGCACGCCGCCGTCCCGACGCTGGCCGCCGCGGCGGGCCTGGATATGAAAATCGAGGTGACGAGCAGTTGCTGAGACGCCGCGACGACCTGAGCTTCAGACAAGTAACGATTTTGTATTTCTCTTCTTAGGACTATTTTTGCTATTTTATTTTTGTATCGTTTTTACTGATAATTTATGCTACGAAACATCCCTGTTAGTCTTCAAGGAAACCAAAGCACATTGTTTTGAATGTGAAGCGAAATGCTTGAAAAAAAAAACAACAAACATTATCCTTACAAATCCTGTCCAAGTAAAAGTATAAAGATATCAAGTTTAAGAGTAATTTAGGATAAATGAGAAAGTGAATTCAAATGAACCAAAAATTATAAGATAATCATCCACACGAAAGCATTTTGTGAAGGAGTTATTTCATTGATTTAGGAACATCTAGTCTAACTTGATGTGGTTTATTGAGAATGAAAAGTGAAGGAAAGATAAGAAATCTGACAAATTGAGCTCGAACGAAAATATATATCAAAATCCTTTCATTTGCATTTCTTCAGTTGAATATGTTCTTTGCATCATTATTGTAACCAATTCCAATCAAACTGAAGCCTTAGAGCAAAGAGTGTTTACAAAAGAGATAATTTAAGTGTTACCGCATGAATTTCACCGGCTAATTTATTTCAGATGTACTTTATTTAAATTATTAATGAGGCCCAAATGGCCATTTGCCACCCATTTTGCGTGTGAACAACAATTGGGAAATCTGTATTATATAGAAGAAATCAAAGTGTATAAACGTTAAATGTGTAGTTGATAGTAGAAACTTTCTGTAGTCATTTGTGGAGGAGCGAAAGAAAACACACAAAGGAAAGGCACATATAAAAGACAAGACAGCTAACATTACCAAAGACGTGTAATTGAAGAAATGTGTAAATCTACATGGAGAGTAAAAAGTGAGGAAAAAAAGGCAACAAAAAAATCATTGGCCATAAATTCACCAATTGCCATACTTTTTTGAGTTGAATTTAAATTAATTTGCCATATGTTGAGGAATTCTTCTTGTTTTTTTTCTTTAAAATAAAAATAAGCATCTCTTTTGTCTCTATAGATACGTAAATAAGATTGTAATTTAGGTATTTGTAAAAAGTTAGTAAGTCATTTTTTTTCTAGCTAAATAATAAATATGATGTTTGAAAATATATTAATGGAATTCCTGTGGCTTACTGGCATCCCTTTTCTCGCCAACTTTTGCGCATTTTATGTCGGAGTTTGCGGCGCATTTCTCGCGCCTCGGCGGAAAGTCTCGCGCTTGTGTGGCGGTTTCTCTGCGTCCACCTGTCGCTCGGCATGCACATATCGGAGGACCCGTCAGTCGCCGCGGTGAGTATCTTTCTTTTTAATAATAATATCGCTGCCTGACCCATTTTCCAACAATCACCACGATCGACTTAATTGCAGGGCTCTCGTTTATTCAGTGAAACTCATTATTCTCCCCTCTTTCGCTCACTCTTCTTGGCCTCTTCTGTCCTTCGCGATCGCACGCGTTCGCGTCTCCACCGCAGAAGATGCGAGCACGGACAAGATTTGAGACCACTTTTTCTTCCGCACATTCCGACAGGAAGGAAAACCTTCCCATCCATTTATTCATCACCAGGCGAAAGAACGTGATGAGGGAAAGTCCGACGAAGGCTTGCAGGCAGTGTGATTCTCATGGAAGTGTAGAATTAACCAAGGAATTAGCGGAACAGACGTCTTGCTACGTGAATGGGCGGGGCATATCAAGAGGCGGAGCGTCGGAAAATTCTTATTGTTCCTATTGAAGAACACCTCTGTTTTTTCGACTATTCAATTTATTTTCAATTGTCAATTTTCACATGGATTTTGTAAGTCACTCAACTGGCTACAGAAGCAGTGTTTATTAATGATGCGCAGCAGAAGTTTAGGCATTCTTTCACTGAAAAGAAACGAATCACAAGATGTCAAAGACTCTTCGGCTGTTCAGTTCATCAGATTGTTTGGCCATCAATCGAGGTAGGTATTGAAAAATAAATTGAGCGCGAAAGCAGAAAATTCAGTTGGGAGACAAATTGCGCAACGACGAGAGAAGCTTCTCGGCGAGAGATAAAGTTTTATCGTCTGCAACCCACCAAAGGACAGCCAGCTGGCGCTCCTGATGGAGTCCAGCGCCGAGGAGAGCCAATCCGCGGGAGCATCAACACGAGCCCAAGGAAAGTGTGTCAATTGCACCCCGAAGCCATTATGTTTTGGGGCTCGTGACCAAGAAGTATCCATACATCATACAATTAAGTGCAATTAAAAGGAGTAATGTGACTGCGAGTGGCACAAACCGTGTGCACATCGTAAAAATTAATTGCAAGACCTCTTCTTTTTCCTTCCTTCGTGCTATTTCACCCCAGCTTTGTCGTAAAAAAAAACTCAGGCGACTTGAAGATCCACCTCATGTCTGTCAGTCTTAAAATTTATACGACCAAATCATTTACATGCAGAAAGAGTGATTTCCTCACCGTCTGCGTCACACGATTAACTGAGTGTGATTTTCTGGCTGTTGTCTGGCTTATCTGCAATTGCAATTGCGCAAAATGCTCAATGAGCCAAATCTATGTCGACTTCTCAAGTCTGATGTTCACACTTCTAAGCATCAAATTATAGTCTCGCCGCCAATTCAGATGGTTCGAAGAAAAAGGTGCGAATTGGGTGAGAAGCAGAGGGACACACTCAAGCTAAAAAAAAAGTCATTTTGGCCGAAATCATTTTTATTGGCAAAGTGTAGACGTGAGAGAATCCGGAAGAGGCGCGAAATTGGTTGGGTTTAACACCGTCGCGCGCGCCACTCCGATTGTACATATTAATGAATGATAATTGATGGCAAAAAATCGGTCTGAATTGATTGATTGTTGTGCCCTTTTGAGTTTCTGGCATTGTGCGTAAAGTGCGTGCAAAGGAATTCACCAACTTGCGATGTGACGGAGAAAATCGGCGTGGCCTTTGTTCGCACCACGAACATTATCATACATAAATCTGTCAGTGAAAGAAATTATCATGATGAAGCTTTCCCAAAAACGTGATCTTTAACCATCTTTTTTATGCTGCGATAAAAGCCGAAAGACTGCAGCAGATGCTCAGCCGATGTTGAAGTGAAAATGCACCAGTTTTGTCCGTTAAATTGAATTCTGTATTAACCCTGAGTAGGAATTTAACAAAAAAAAGCGACGAAACAAATTTTGCTGAGCTTCCAATTTTCAAGAGAAATTCGGAAATTCAAACACTTTTTGATTCATTTCCATTGAAAATTTATTCAAATTTCTAAACTTCTGTGTAATGTTCTAAATAGATTATCTCTAGGATAGTTTAAGAATCGTTTCGTAAGTCGCCATCTTAAATTAACATTTCTAGATTATGTTCTTTGTGTTACCTGTGAAATTCCCCAAAAGCGCTGTTGAGTGTTAATGCCCAAAATAATTTTCCACTTTGGAATGCAAACACGCACGCAGATTCCACTCACACAACTCTGTGTGGCACCTCCAGCGGCTCCACATTTGCCATCCAGCGGACGGAGATCTCGCATTGGTTGGTGGCTCGTGTCATGTGCGCGCAAGCAGCAGCCGATCTCGTGTGTGCACCTGTCAGAAAGCTGCACACTTTCGACAGCGGCTCTGGACCTGAATCTCTTCCACTTCTTCCCTCGGCTACCATTGTCCTTCGCGGCGTCAATCTGTGCCCCCAAAATTGCCATATCAAATTGATGATCGCGGGATCCCGAGATTTCTCCATGCTCTTCGTTCGCCCCGCGGGGCACAAAAATTCTGTGGCACTGCCAAACCACCGGCAGTTCAATGTGCCATCCAAGGGGGAGATAATGTGGGCAGACGTCTTAGAAATTGTTTTTTTTTTATCCATTTTACTCATAACAATCAATTCTTATCCACGCCTGCGTCGTGACATGTTTTTCCAAGTGTTTTTCTAAGTTATAAGACTTCTTAAAGAGTAAAATCCTTCTTAAAATAATAAATCTTTCAAATAAACTGAATTAATTTCCACTGTTTAATAGAATTGTGCATTTACACTAACTAAATATCAATTCTTTCACTAAACAGTGGCGATTTTGAGGTAGAAATATTCTGATCGAAGCCTCTATTAGGGACACTTATTGTGGACGTGACACACAAAATTGCAGAAGTCTCGGGAAATTGTTCTGGAGAGATGAGCCACACTATCTCCCCCTTGGTGACAGACAAATGGAGAAGGACTGCAAATGGCAGAGATGAGCGAGAGCAATAAACTATCGGTGAAATCCATCTGCATGTCGCCAATCTAATCAAGACATTTCATCCGTGGTGCAATGGACGCGGTTTCAGCGGGCACAATATACATTGTCAATTGCATATTAACGAAGAGCCAGAGATATGGAGAAAAAAAGGAATCCTCACCCCTATGGTACCATCATCAGAGACAATGCGTCCGGCGGTTCCGCGAACCCGTATGCGGTTTGTGGCGCGCCTTCTCGCCATCCCGAGAGAGACCCATCAATCCCTTCCCATGTGCGCATTGTCTCTCCTATTGATTCCGAATGGTGGCGAAGAGTGGTATGGTAATTAATATTAAATGAACTAAACCATCCGTTAAAGGTCAGGTGTGATTTGTGCCAGTGAAAAAAAGAATCGTTGGAGAGTCCCACGATTTTTGTTATGTGGTGTAAAATGTATTCCACATACCACCTGAACCATCATAAACACTGCCGACGAGAGTTCAACGTATAAATGGTAATTTTCTCTATATTTAATTGCGTCCGATGCAAAGCGGGTGTAAATGAAATTGAAATTCACGGAGAATATTCTTCGCCCAAGAGAGTTGAATAATCTCCAATAAAAAAAAAACAGATTTTGTCATCAATTCTCTTCACCTGGCGTGATTTCACTTGCGACAAATGCGGCAGAACCTCTAAAGAGGGCTCATCCTCAATGAGCCCTATTATTTGCGTCTCATCGCGCTCCTCTTTTCCACTCAATTGACCTTGTGTTGATCACAACATAATAGAAATCTTATCCATTCGCATGATGAAAACACGCGGTTCGCAGTCT